ATAATTATGTATGGTGCTAGGTCGGTACTTGAAATACTGAGAGATTGCTTTGTAAATTATATGGTTGTCTAACCACTTTTCTGTATACCTAAAACTAATATAAAATAATATTGAATGTCAACTGTAATTTTAAAAAATTTGTGTGTGATATGCAGGGAATACTAGCAACATACTCATCATAGTCATTTTTTTCAAACTATTAATGTTTTATCTCTGTACCTTTTTATGTTAGATTTGGGTTTCTAGGTAGGCTTGGATTCTTTGGCCTCTGTTTTTCAGAACTCTGATGGGAAGTGTTTCTTTCTTTTTAAAAGAAATTGATTTCAGAGAGGAAGGAAGAGGGAGAGGGATAGGAACATCAATGATGACAGAGAATCATTGATTGGCTGCTTCCTGCATGTCCTCTACTAGGGATTGAGCCCACAGCCTGGCATGTGCCTTGACTGGGAATTGAATTGTGACCTCCTAATTCATAGATACATGCTCAACCACTGAGCCACACCAGCTAGGATGCTGGGAAGTGTTTTTATTGTAGAGACTAGCAGTTAATCTTTGTACTCAGTGCTTTGAAGTTGGTCTTTGTTTTTGAATCTGTGCCTTTTCTGGGTCACTGATGAATGATTATAAAGAATTCATTTTATTGTGATTTTCAAGATAGTAGCTTAAAAAGAAACCCAATTGTGAATCTCAATATAATTTGAATCAAACTTGGATATTTTATTTTTTATTTTTTGTGGTATATTTTAATAAGCTAATTCAATTTAACTGTTCTTTGACATCATTTGAATATTTATTAGGAATCTTCCTGGCTTTTATCTGGCTTTTATTATTTCAGGCTCTCTTTAGCTAAATGTCATTTCTGTAAGCTAAATAAATGCGTTCAGTCAGTGTTTGAGAGCCTCTGTGTGCAATGCATTGTGCTTGAAATTATTTATTTATTTGTTTTTTAAAAAAATATAAGCTTATTGATTTCAGAGAGTAAGGGAGAGATAGATAGATAGATCAAAGAGGAGAAAGAATCATTGATTGGCTGCCTCCTGCACATCTCACAATGGGGACTGAGCCTGCAACCTGGGCATGTACCCTGATTGAGAATTGAACTGTCACCTCCTGGTCATGTTCAGCCACTGAGCCACACTGGCTGGGCTGTACTAGATATTTTTAATAAAATATTTTTATGTGCTTGCCAAGTGGTAGACACTCTGTCAAAAAGACACTTGGGATATGCTAGTAAACAAAACGACAGAAATTCTTTTGGATTTTGGTAGAGGAAAGAGAGAGAATAAATGAATGCGTGCAGGAGATGGTTATAAATACAGAAATAAAGAGCGATGAGAGATGGGTGTGTCAGGCAGACTGGCTGCAGTCTTAAACACTGCGGTCCCCACATGGCTGTGCTGGGAGGCCTTTGTGGGTAGCTTGGTGAATAGGATGGACTCTGTCCTCACATAGCTTAGTGATAGTAACTGCTTCCGGAGGAGTACCTGCCTCGAGGGTAGGGGCCCTGCTGAGTACCTGTGTGCATTTCCTGCCAGAGGATGTTATCGCCAGTTTCTCCAGAACGGAACTGAAAGTTTGAGAATCAAGTAAATTGCCAAGACAAACATGGCCAGTGGGACTCAGGTCAGACCCAAGGCCTGCTCTTAACATCGAGTTTTTGCTAAGGCAACTCTCAAAATATTTGTTATGGGGGAGGCAGCCAACTTTGGAGGTAAGGCTACCTTAATTTTGGTTCTGACTGGTTGGGCAGTGACTTGGCCGGCTCAGGGAGAGTATTGTGTTATGAGCCTCCTCCCTTGTGCTTTTTCTATTTAAAAGGCCTTGAACTCGTGTCCTGGCCCAGCAGGCAGAGGAGCTGCCTGGTTACGGACTTCCATGCAGCGGGATGAGTTTGTCGTGTGTCAGAAAGTGGCGTCTCATGACTCCAGCAAATCATTGACTACTTGAATTCCTGGCGCTGCAGTTCAGTGATAGGACACTAAGTTGGCTGCCGATGTATCATTATGTTCAAGAGCGCGTTGTAAATGCCCATATTTAGAAGGGAACATAGAGTGAAAGGTTGTAGTGCCAAGTTCACTGATTATTGTGCCTGTTTATGACGGAAGAGGCCATACTTTGTATTTACAGCGATTGCTTTATCGTAATAAAAAATGAGTAGTATATGAGTGTTTTGAATGAGAACCTTTATAGAGGGCTGTGGAAAGTCTGGGGTTCCAGAGAGCTCTGTTGTTCCTATTATAACGTTCAACACAAAGCATCCCACTTTTAATAAGGTAGGGATTTTTCAGCCTGCTATATCCTTTGCTAAGCAACTGAGTGTTGCTTATTCTTTTGTGCTTTGGCTAATTCAGTATCTGAGGTGTGCATGTTGGTCATAAATCTAAAAAAGAACATATATATATTTCACAACTCTATGTACTATCTTTTATTACTAGTTTCTAGTGATTTTTGCCTCTGTCACTTCCAAAATTAAATGTTGTTAATTTTTACAAGGTGCTTTTCTTTTTTTATTTAAGAAGTAAACTATGATTTGAGCACTTGGGCTGTGAAATTCTATTTATTGACTTTATTGAGTTACTAGAGACCCAATGCACAAAATTTGTGCAAGGGGCTCGGCCCTCATAGCCCTGGCTTCATCTGGAAAGTCACGTGGAAGGATGCCTGGAAGGTTGTTCTGCTGTCTGGCCTAATTAGCATATTATGCTTTTATTATCCTAATATATAAAAAGTCAGGGGCTGTTACGACCGAAACAACTGGATGGACGACCAAACAGCAGGCTGCATGGGGCAACCAGGCCAGCAGGGGGGTTAGTGAGGGATGGCCAAATGACTGAACAGCAGGCTATGTGGGGCGACCAGGCTAAAGGGGGGAAGCAGTAAGAGGTGACCAGTCCAGCAGTGGGGGCAGTAAGGAGTCAGCAGAAGGGGGCAGTTGGGGTCGACCAGGCCGGCAGGAGGGGCAGTTAGGCGCAATCAGGCAGGCAGGCAGATGAGCAGTTAGGAGCCAGCAGTCCTGGATTGTGAGAGGGATGTCCAACTGCCATTTTTGGCCCGGTTTTAGGGGTTCCTTATTGGAGATGTTGCAGGCTGGGCTGAGGGGACCCTCCCCCCATGCATGAATTTCATGCACCAGATGGTAGAGATGGAACACACTTACTTAGGTAGTCAGCTTCAAGATCAAAGTACAAGAAGTTATCAGTGTCCTAGAAACCCCCACATTTTTAATCACTTGCACCATCTTCTCCCACCAGGGTAACCATTGTTTTGACTTTTAACATCATGTCTTTGTTTTGCCTATTCTTGTACTTGGCATGAATTATTGGTAACAATCTATATACTCTCTGTATCTGGATTCTTTCGTTTCCCATTTGTGAAGTTGAACCATATGGTTGAATGCAATTGTGGGTTATTTGTTCTAATTGCTATATGATATCTCATTGTGTGGATATTCCACAATTTAGTCATTGTACTGTTAAAGAATTATGTGTAGCTTCCATCTTATTATAAGGGGTCATATATGACTTAACATTGTCATATATGACTTAAGGTGAATATATGTAAACATTTCTGTTGGGTATATGCCTAGGAATGGAATTATTAGGACATAGTGTATGAACATATTCAGCTTGAAGAGATACTTCTGAGTGGGCCAGAAGTTAGAGTAGTGATACCAATTTCTATTTTCACAGTAGTGTGAAAGCTTGTAAATGTTATTTTTGACATGATGTTTCAGGGATAGATGGGAGGAGTAATGTTTTCCTTAGGTTCATTTCATTTCAAGTTCGTTTTATGGAAAGGAATGGTTTTAGCTATTTCATTGAGTCTTTGAAACCTAAATTAAATATGTGTGCTCATTTTCCCCTTCTTTTCTTTCTGTCTTCCTATGTCTTACCAGGTATATGTGTTTTATGTACGTCTTAAATATAGCATGTGTGTGTATGTATTTTATCTTACACATTTACTCCTTATAAACTCTTAGACTGAAAAGCCACCTTAGAAGTCATCCAGCTCAGGATCTAAAGTCTCACATTGATCCTGCTGAAGTGTCTTTAACAACTGAAAGCACATTATTTTAGGGCAACCTAAGTTCTTTTTTATTAATTAACTCATATGGTTACTTCTTCAACATTGTGGTGACATCAGCCTATTTTTAACTTCACCCATAAATGTCATGTCTTGTTATAGGTAAAGGAAAAAAAAACACATGATTTTTGTAATAGAGCAAAATCTCTTCAGGGGGAGATTCACGGCTATTAAAAAAAATATATATATATATATATATATATATATATATATATATTATTATTATTATTGATTTCAGAGAGGAAGGGAGAGAAAGAGAGAGAGAGAGAGAGAGAGAGAGAGAGAGAGAGAGAGAGAGAGAGAGAGAGAGAGAGAAACATTAGTGATTAGAGAGAGTCATCCACTGGCTGCCTCCTGAATGCTCCCCACTGGGGACTGTACCTGAAACCTGGGCATGTGCCCTGACCAGGGATCTAACCATGACTTCTTGGTTTATAAGTCGATGCTCAAACACTGAGCCAGGCTGGCTAGGCTCACAGTAATTTTTAAACATTACTTCCAACATCTGCAGGGTTTTAGTCTTAGCAGTTTGCTCTGGGGAACTTGGGTGAGAAAACTCATGTGGATGATGGAGATGAGAACTCTGTGAGAAATAGCCTTTCTTTCTTCTGTTTCTTGTTCCCCCTGCCATGAGCACATTTCCCCCTTTTGATAGGGTTTAAGCATTGTTTAAAATAAATACAGGAAATGCAAATACTGCATTTTAGAAACTAGATGGTAACGAATAAAATGAGAAAATACAACCTTTTAAATAGAAACTGATGCTTGTTTCATGAAATCAATGAATGCAGGAATTTTTTTTCTGAAGTTTTTGAGCTTCCAGGTGGTATTAATATTCATAGAAATGAGCTTCAATTAATAATGAATAATTTAAAGTTCTTAGATATTAATAGATATTTTCTCTTTTTTCTTTACAGGCAAGAAGAGACCGATAGGAGAGTGAAAAATGTAAGATATGTTTAATGGAATATTATAGATGGTTTTGTACTTGTTCTGTAATAAGGCTGTGGGATCTAGAAATATCTGATATTCTCTGTTATCTTTTTATCTGAAATTTTTGCTACAAACCAACCAGTCACAAACTCTAAATATGTTAAAATACGGTTAAACATATTGTCTGTCTTCATGGTGGTAAGAGGATAGTTTAAACTTACAAAGTGGTTTCTCGTATGTTAGTCACGTGGTAAAGGCCAGTGAACATACGTTAGGGTTTTTAGGGGAGTAAGTCAGAAACCATCAAATCAGACTTTAAGGAACACCTCTGAATGTTTAGAAACTCTAGATGATTATTCAATGTGGACTTATATAATATCTATAATATCCTACTTGTATTAGGAGAATTTCTGATGTGACAACTTATTAAAAACGTAAGAGCTCAGTACCTTTAGGAAAGCTGAGAATTATTGATTTTAAGTGTCCATTTCCTAAGTTTGTTGTTATAAAAATGTTTATTGCATTAAAAGTTTACCCCCCCGCCCCCCTTTTCATATGTACTAGTAGAATTCATGAATGAATACCTGTTGGGATCGAGCTTTTGGTCTGAGAATGTGCTCAGAGAATGCCTGAATGCCCCCAAATGGTGGCGACTGGAGCCTGCAAACTTGAGCATGTGCCCTGACCAGGAATCTAACTGTGAAATCTAGGAAGAGTGAATAACATTTTTAATGACTCTTTTCCTTAAAATTTAAAAGAAAAATCTATTTTCAGCCATAGATAGATATGCTCTTTTATCTGGAGTGCTCACCTGCTTTGCAGTTACTTGCCATAAGTAGACTGATCTTTTTGTTTTATGGAATTTTTTTTTTTTTGCAAGGTTTTGATAACATTGTACTGGCTGGGAAGAAAAGCACAAAGTAACCCCTACTATAATGGTCCATATCTTAATTTGAAAGCATTTGAGAATCTTTTGGGACAAGCTCTGACCAAGGTAAGGAAAGTATATCTGTATGAGAGGATTACCATAACTAATACTGTTTTCTCCTTTTCCCTCCCTTCCCCTTTCTGTTTTCCTTCCATTTCATTCTTCTCCTTCTGTAGAGCAAATGTGGAAGGTCTAACCATCCTTGCTCTGGTCTAGACTGGAATGCGTAGAGAAGATTGTTACTCATTGGCTGCCTTTGTATGCCACCACCAGGGAGTAAGTGAGTCTATTTCAGAGCAGTGTCCAGGATATAGGCATTTATCTCTTAATTCTAGCTAACTCGACAATAGGCATTTGTTTCCTTTCTTAGATACTTTGTATACGTAAATCTTCCTATGTTCATTATGAATTCAACCTGTAGAAGAAAGGTTCTTCAGGGTTATTAAAATGTATGAAAGCTACTCACTTTTTAAAAAATCGTAGTATTTTTTTTAGTCATGGAGGATTACCTCTAATGCCTATACTTCTGTATTTCCACAATTCTACATACTGCTTCTGTTTCCTAAGGAGTAGTGAATGCTTTTACAGTGGTGCCTCGCATAAAGAACGCCTCGCACAGCGAACGCTGCACACAACAAACTTCATTTCATGATTCATACAACGAACTTCGTTTCACACAACGAAGTCGCCCAAGCTTCCACGACCGCTTTGCCCGAGCTTCCACAACTGCTTCGCCCGAGCTTCCACGATCGCTGCCGATGTATTGCATCCTTCCTCGCAGGCACTGCAGGCAGTCGTTAGTCACTGCGCTTAACTTAAGCACGTATCTCGGCAATCGTTCTTCATTACGAATTAAATCACGCACGTATCACGGCAGTCGTCCTTTTAAGTTAAACTCAATATTTTTTTTATATCATGGCTTCTAAAAAAAGCAGGAAGGTGATTTCTGTTGAAATGAAACAGGAAATACTAATTAGAAGGAGTGAATGTGGGGTAAAACAGTGTGACCTCGTCAAAGAGTTTGGCCTCAGCAAGACCACCATTTTCACCATTTTGACAAATAAGGATGCAATCAAATCAGCCAAAGTAGCCAAAGGAGTATCAAAACTATTTCATGAAAAACATAGGTCTTCAATCCACGAGGAAATGGAGAGGCTATTAGCGATTTGGATTAAGGACAGGCAGGTGAAAGGTGACGTAACAACCCAAGATATTATCTGTCACAAAGCCAAGAGAATTTATGACGATCTAAAGAAAAACGTCCCTGGAAGTAGCAGCAATCAAGATAATGAAGAAGAATTCAAAGCCAGCAGGGGGTGGTTTTTTAGATTTAAGAAAAGGTGTGGAATCCACAGCGTTACTATGCATGGTGAGGCTGGCAGTGCTGACAAGAAAGAAGCAGAAAAGTTCTCTATTAACTTTCAAAAATGTATTAAGGTTGAAGGATACTGCCCACAACAAGTGTTCAATGCCGATGAAACGGGTCTTTTCTGGAAAAGAATGCCGAGCAGAACCTTCATTACAAAAGAGGAGAAGAAATTGCCAGGACACAAAGCCATGAAGGACAGACTTACCCTTATGTTTTCGTCTAATGCCAGCGGAGACCTCAAGATCAAACCTCTATTGGTTTATCACTCTGAAAATCCAAGAATTTTCAAGAAAAATAACGTTATTAAGTCCAAACTGCCCGTCCATTGGAAGTCCAATCAAAAAGCCTGGGTGACCCAAGTTATCTTCAACGAATGGATTCTGGAAACCTTTGCTCCTGCCGTGAAGGAATTCTTGCTGGAAAAAGAACTGCCGCTCAAAGCCCTTCTGATACTTGACAATGCCCCTTCTCACCCAAAAGACCTAGAGGAAATATTGCAGGAAAATTATCCTTTTATCAAGGTGCAGTATTTGCCACCAAACACCACATCCATTCTTCAGCCAATGGATCAGCAAGTTATTGCGAACTTTAAAAAACTCTACACTAGAGCCCTCTTTAATAAGGTGTTTGAAGAATGCGAGTTTGGTGGAGACAATATGACTGTCCGAAAGTTTTGGAAGGAGAAATTTGATGTCCTTATGGCAATACGACTTATACAGAAGGCCTGGGAAGAAGTGTCACAAAGGACCCTCATTTCTGCTTGGAAGATGCTTGTGCCTTCGTGGACCCAGGAAGAAGCAGTAGTTGATGACACAGAAGTGGTGAAGGACATCATCACAGTGGCCCAAAGGTTGGAATTAGAGGTAGAGGAAGAGGATGTAGAGGAGCTTATTGAGGAACACGAAGAAGAGCTGACAACTGAAGAGCTCCAAGCACTTCTGGTCCAGCAACAGGACAATGCTCAAAGGGAAGCGTCATCTGATAACGAGGAGCAACAATCAAACAATCAACCAATCCCAACTGCTGACATCAAGAACATCCTGGTCAAATGGAAAGCAGTTCAGGAGTTTACCAATGCCCACTATCCGGATTCAGCTGAAGCAAACAGGATCAACGATCTTTACTCCAATACTCTTGTCCGTTATTTCCGGCAGATGTTGGAGAAAAGAGAAAAACAAACGACTTTGGACAGGTTTTTCATGAAACCATCGGCCAAAAAGCAGAAAATGGATGAAGATGTGCAAGATTCGGTAGATTCTACTTAGTCTGTCTTAAAATTAAAAAAATGTGTGTTTTTTTTTAAAAAAATTATGTTTTTAGATGTATCTAAATAAAAATAATAACAAAAAATTTATCTTTTTTTATGTCATCTTAGCATATTTTATGCTACAGAACGAATTATTTTTTTTAACATGTATTGTTATGGGAAAACGCGTTTCACATAACGAACTTTTCGCATAACAAACTTGCTCCTGGAACGAATTAAGTTCGTTGTGTGAGGCACCACTGTACATGAAACATGCTATGGCTTTTTAAAATTAGAATGCTTTGTTTTAATGCTTTTGATTGTTTAAGGACAATTTGAGGAGAGTTGGGTGCCAGGTCTGACTGTAGTTTTGCCAAATAGTTGCTCCATAGGTTTTATAATGATGAACTGATACTCTACCAAGAAGGCATTTAGTATTATTCTCTAGCATGTAATAAATGTTAGTTGTCATGAATGGAAGATAGAAATGTAGACCAGGATGAAAATGATTACCAAGCCTTATATCTTCCCTAATCTTTAGTTTTGCCTGAGTTCAGCCATTTACATTATAGAAAGACTAGAGGCTCGGTGCATGAATTCGGGTGAAGATCTGGACCAATCGAGGCTGTCTCCTATCCTAATTGGGGCAGGCCGGTCAGGGGTAAGGACCTTGGAAGGTTGATTGGCCTCAACCCCAATTGGGGAGGGAAGGCTTGGGGAAGGGGCCAAGGGAGGTTGGCCAGCCAACCCACCCTAGTCAGGGCCAATGGGGACAAGCATGGGGAAGGGAGGGGCTGTGAGAAGTTGACTGTGGGAGTGCACTGACTATCAGAGGGTAGCTCCTGCATTGAGTGTCTGCCCCCTGGTGGTCAGTGCCTGTCATAGCTATTGGCCAGTTGTCCAGTCATAATGGTCATTTAGGCTTTAAAAAAAAAAAAAAAAAAATATATATATATATATATATATATATATATATATATATATATATATTTATATAATTATATAGCTTAGAAAGTTTCAGTCTTCCTTTTTGATGATGATAATGATGATGATTTTTATCCTCATCCAAGGATATTATATGTTTTTCATTGATTTTTAGATAGAGTGGAAGGAAGTGGAGTGAGAAAGGGACGGGTGGAGAGAGAGAAAGAGAGAGAGAGAGAAAGAGAAGCATTACATTGAGAGTATTACATTGTTGCCTCCTGTATGAGCTGACCAGGGCAGGGGATTGAACCTGCAACCCAGACACATCTCTTTGACCGGGAATTGACTCTGCGACCCTTTGGTGCATGGGCCAATGCTCTAACCCTGAGAGGGCTCATTTTTATTATTTTTGAATTGTAAAGAGTTTATAGCACTTTACTCAAATTCCTTGAAACAGTTAATTCAAGTAATATTTGAGATGTTATCATGTACAAGCCTTGCAGCAGGTGTTGGGAAAACATACAAGACAAAAGATCCCTCCTTGTGCAGTACAATTGGCTGCTGGAGACAGATGAGCAGATACGTGGAGGAGGTGGAGGAGGGTAAGACTGATGGAGGAACATGCAAGGGGGCTTTGGGCACGATCATAACTTTGCCTCCGCTATTTCAGCTAAGAAAACATCCAGTTAAAAACAATATCGGACTTTGGCCCCCGTGTTAGTGTTCTCTTAACAGCCCTTGGTCCTTTTTACGGCAGTCTGACTCAGGCTGAATAAGGCTGGTGCAGTGTATGTGCTGGGAATGCTCTTTTAAAGCTGTTTCCTGTCACCCATGGGAAATCGGAGTAGGTAAACATTTTTTATTAAAAAATTTTTTTTCAATACTTAAAAACTATAGCAGTGGTTTTATTCCATTATTATAGGGTGGGAATAGCCATAAGAGGCGTGTAGATCTGTAATCTTGTTTGGCATCTGTTTTGTTAAAAATCAAAACCATTGTGTTCTTCTAACTTTCCAACTTCAGTAGATAATGCTTAATGGCCAATCCATGATATCAGTTAAAAAACAAAACAAAAAACACTTGGGATAAGCTGTTGCACCTGAGTTACCCTGTAAGTTGGAGGTGACTCCGGTGACTTGTCAGAGTGAAGTCCAACATAACCAGGCACCAGGGTCAGACTCCGGTTCTTTTATAACTGTGGTGGCCTGTTATAAATAACTAACATTTATGAGGTCAAAAGTCATCTCGCTGTGTAGAGAGGACCCTATGGCTACACCAGTGTGTTTAAGAAACCTGATGGGTCAAAAGATTTACTTAAGCCCTACCTGGTTTGGCTCAGTGGATAGAGCATTGGCCTGTGGATGGAAGGGTCCCAGGTTCAATTCCGGTTGGGCACATGCCTGGGTTGCACGCTCAATCCCCAGTGTGTGGTGTGCAGGAGGAAGCTGATCGATTCTCTTTCATCATTGATGTTTCTATCTCTCTCTCCCTCTCCCTTCCTCTCAGAAATCCACTCAAAAAAAGAATTACTTAAAATTTTTAATCTTTTTATGTTATGAGATATATCTAGGTGATACCAGCATTAGGCTCAGCTTCCCCATATGCTTGGAAATAGGGTACAAGGTAGGTGCTTACATTTTCATGACAGGATGTTAATTCTAACACGTTTGTCTGGCATCCAAAGCATGTAAAAATCTCACATAGTTCTACTAGACTTTATTAGTTCTTTAAATACTTGTCCAAAAGCTCAACTACAGATTGACAAATCCAGCCTTAGCCAAAAGTATGCCTGAGGGAGCTGCTGATTATTCATTGTAAACATTCTTTTATCGACTTTTTCATGTTGAGAATATTTATAATATATTTATAATTAGAGTACAACAAATATATATCCTCTGATTCAATTATTAAAATTTTCCATATTGACTTGATCTATTTATGTATCTGTTCATCCACTTATGTTTTATTTACTTAATCATTTTAAAGTAAATTGCAGATATCTCACCCCTAAATACTTAGTATGCGTGTCTTAAGAATAAGATTTTTTATTTTTGGTGTTTGGAAATTCTTCCATATAGCCACAATATCTATTATACTTAAGAAAATTCATAAATGTACCCCATTATCTAAAACCATCTCTGTTTTAGCGAAGTCACCTGAAGCTAACATTCCCGACTTATACTATAATGACAGTTACATTCACCATATTAAAACATTAAGAGTTTATTACTCTGTATTAACTCATTAATTAATTATTACTCTGTATCATGACTATGTTACATTTACTTAAATACTAATTTTAAAAAGACCACTTGTATTTTGTTATTTACTTTCATAGATAAATGCTAATTAGAAATATTGATTTTGTGTAAATGTTATGTGATTTATGAACCTATAGTTATTGACATTTGCCATGTTTTTGTGCATCTCTTACATGAGCCAACAAATACTTAATTTAGATTCAGGAAAAGTATTTTGTATGTCAGCCAACAAGTCTGCTTTTCTTGGTTCAGATTTAGGTTTCATAATCAATGAAAATAGATAAATTCTGTGACATGTATACCTGCTGTACTTGCTCCTCTCTGTTTTAAACTTTTTGTTAAAAAATTCAAGTACTTTTTTTGTTTAATATATATCTCCTCAACTATTTGCTGAATGTAGGATGGTTATAATTAATTAATTTATCTTTTTTTTGGATATCAAAGTACAGGTTGATTTTTCTCTTTAACTCCATTCATACTTATTGCCAGATAACTCTAGATAATAATTGATTTTAGTAAATTTAGTTAGTAACTTTTTGTATTAAAATGTCTCCCCTTCCTTACTTTTATTTAGATTGTACTACTTTATTAAATAATAATGAATATCTCTTTGGTGTTACATGAGGACCAACTATTGTGGGAAAGCAGATTTATCTTCCAATTTTTTAAAATCAGATTTTTATGATTAATAGGTTGCCCCCCCTATCAAATGAAGCACAACTTGAGTTATGCAAACAAACAAGTAATGACTGACTGCAGTTTGGGATTTTATGCTAATTTATTCTCTAAAATATTCTTTTTAGGCACTTGAAGACTCCAGCTGTCTGAAACGAAGTGGCAGGGACAGTGGGTACGGAGATATCTGGTGTGCTGACCGGGGAGAGTTCCCTGTGCCCCCAGGCAGCCATAGGAGAGAAGATTCCTTTGAAAGCTTGGACTCTCTGGGCTCCAGGTCCTTCACAAGCTGCTCCTCTGATATCACGCTGAGGGGTGGGCGTGAAGGTGAGTTGCATTTTTTATTTACTTTTTGTTAATCCTCACCCGAGGATATTTTCCCATTGATTTTTAGGGAGAGTGGAAGAGAGAGGGAAAGACAGAGAAAAAGATCCATGTGACAGAAACACATAGATTAGTTGCCTCCTGCATGAGCTACAACCAAGGCTCAGGCTGGGGAGGATCCTGCAACCAAGGTACACACCCTGACCAGTATCAAATCCAGGGACCCTTTGGTCCATAGGCCAATAATGCTCTATCCACTGAGCCAAACCTGCTAGGTAAGGTGAGTTGCATTTTGGCTGGCAGTTTATTTTTCTTTGTTTGCATATTAAGAAGAAATTGGGAATGAGGAGAAAAATGAGGTGAAAACTATCGAGGCAAAAATTTCACCAAGAAAATAGAGACTAAATTGTAATTTTTTATTTTTTTAATATTTTTATTGATTTTTTAGAGAGGAAGGGAGGGAGGAAGGGCAGGAAGGAGGGAGGGAGGGAGGGAGGGAGGGAGGGAGAGAGAGAGAGAGAGAGAGAGAGAGAGAGAGAGATAGAGAGAGAGAGAGAGAGAGAGAGAGATGTGTGCGTGTGACAGAGAGAGAGAGAGAGAGAGAGAGAGAGAGAGAGAGAGAGAGAGAGAGAGAGAGAGAGAGGGGCATCATTTACCAGGACACTGACACAGCAATCCCCAGCGTTGGGGCTACTGCATGCCCCACGCTGGGGATTGAACCTGCAACCTGGGCATGTGCCCTAACTGGGAATTGAACCACGACCTCCTAGTTAATGGACTGATGTTCAACCACTGAGCCACACTGGTTGGGCTGAAGTATAATTGAAAAAAAATTTTTTTTTCCTTCCTCTCTGTATCACCACTAGAGGGGTATTGGTTTCACTTTTTCCTTCTTCCCATTTTCAGAGAAGACAAGAGGAGAAAGTTAACTATGATCTGTTTTATCAGTGATAATGTATTTTGATTATTTTCTTTTCAGATTCAGGGTTAATAATCTGTGCCTATGAGGCCTGCTGACTGGTATACTTAAACATAAAAGAGATTCTAAAAAATTTATTCTAATTCCTGAGTTAATTTCTTTCTTCCCTTTTCTTACTTTCCCCCCAAAATATTTTTTTTAAATTCTCAAGAAAAAGAACAAGAAAGACATCTTTTTAATGATCTCTAGGAGAAGAAATGATCGATACCTATCATGATATCACATTATACTAAACTTTGATTAAGTAACAATATAAGCGTGGTGTTAGAAAACATCCTTTGATTTGTAAGGGTCAGAGCTAATCCAGGACAGTGTAAGCATGAAAGGAACATGTTAATGAAAGTCATCTGTTTTGGGAAGGAAGCTCTTTTCAAAATGTCAGTGTCCTGGTCAGATCAGTTAATTAAATGCAACTCTTACTCCTATGGATGTTGGTGGTCTGATAAACTTCTAAATGTACACCTCTAACAATTCAAATTGGGCTAGATTGGAACCATGAGAAAGTTGCTTCAAATATTTCTGTGCTTCTACCGTTAATGTGAAAAAAAATTGAGAGTTCTGGTTGTGAGTTTGTACTAGATTGTTAGGAATTTTACTTGTTTATTTTTATTTTTTTAATATAAGTGACTTCTATAACATTTTTATTATAAAAAATTTCAAACATCATTAAAGTTTGGAAGAATTTTCCAGTGAACACCCCATGTACCCACCACCTAATTCTACCAAAACATTTTATTATATCTGTTTCATCACAAACCTATCCCACCTCTCCCTGCATTAATTTATCCTTCTTATTTTTTGGAGCCATTTCAGAGCATATGACACTTGTTCTAAATACTTTAGCATGCAGGTCATTAACTAGAGTTCAATCTTTATTTGTTGTTCTTAGATAAATTTACATAAATGAAAAGTACAATAAATTTGTCTTTCAAAAATAAAAATCAGCAAAGTGTTAAGCATGGTCACAAAAAAGTGGCATTTAAAGCTAACAATAAAAAATATAAATGGCTAGGGAGGAGTTAACCTTTATAATTACTGCTGCAGTTGTTGGCTGTTTGCTATGTAGGTGTGACACTTTCATAGTCTAGATGAGTATTATAATAGTTTTAAAAAAATGAGTCTGATTTATAATTTAAGTAATTAAAGCTGTAAAAACAGGCTGAAATTCTGAGCTCATTCTATTACTCTGTCCTGACCAAAGAAGCGAAAACATTTGAAGTTTAAATTTACATCTGGCCAGCAAACAGGGAAAGAGAGGAAGATTGAGGCACTGTGGGATATGCAGACTTGAGACAGTTCAGTTGCAGTGGTCCTGTGGTGTGGAATCCAAGTCTCCTCCTGGTGCCTGTCCACGTGACCAAGAGCAGAGGGCCACTGTGACACAGTTTTCTGGTCTCGGAAAAGGAGTTACCTTCTTAAAGAGTGTGGAAATGAAGACTTGGTAATTAATTGTAACTAGTGGGTAATAAAAAAGCCTGAGGGTCACCAGGATGATAAACTTTTTTTATGATTACTATATTAAAATTCTGCTACCCAACAGGTTATAGTCCAAAATTGATGATTATCATAACTTAGGATAATGTTTTCATGTTAATAGAATTGCAAGGTTAAATTCCTTAGGTTTATATGAAACTCCCTATATCAAGAATATTTGCTTACTCTAGAGAGCATTGTACTAGACTAAAAAAAAAAAAAAACTTTAAGAATTCATAAAATGAACATGATGACTATAGGTAATTAACACTGTTGTATTATATACACGAAAGTTGTTAAGAAAGTAGGTCCTGCCCTAGCCAGTTAGGCTCAGTGGATAGAGCACCAGCCTGTGGGCTGAAGGGTTCCAGGTTTCGATTCTGGTCGAGGGCACATGCCCGGGTTGTAGGCTTGATCCCCAGTAGGGGTGCAGGAGGCAGCCAATCAATGATTTTCTCTCATCATTGATGTTTCTATCTCTCTCTCCCTTTCCATTTCTTTCTGAAATCAATAAAAATATATTAAAAAAAAGAAAAAAAGAAAGTAGATCCTAAGAGTTCTCATCACAAGAATTACTTTTGGTCTTTTTTTTGTATCTGTATAAGAATGATGGATAACTAAACTTATTGTGGTAACTATTTTTATAATATATTTAAATAAAATCTGTATACCTTAAACACATACACTATTGACCTGCCAGCATGGCTCAGTGGTTGAGCATTGACCTATGAACCAGGAGGTCATGGTGCATTCCCCAGTCAGGGCACATATCCAGATTGTGGGGGGCGTGGGGGGCGCGTGAAGGAGGCAGCCAATTGATGATTCTCTCTCATCAGTAATGTGTCTCTCTCTCTCTCTCTCTCTCTCTCTCTCTCTCTCTCTCTCTCTCTCTCTCTTTTTCTTTGAAATAAATAAAAATATATTAAAATAAAAACATATACCCTATTGTATGTCAATTGCATCTCAATAAAGATGGGGAAAATACTCCTGAGTAGAACAATCTCTTTGCGTATTTAAGATTTTACATGAACAAATTTTGGGAAGCATTAAGACATTTCTCTCATTTCCAAAAAATGTACTGTTTATGTAGGAGGTGGTAAAAACAAGCGAAGCACCAGATGATTGACCATAAATCCTCCTGATGAGAGCTGGTTAAATGTCTCCCATTGTGCTGCCTCTCCTTCGCCCTGTTCAGGTCTCCTGCTTACATAGCTGTGTGTTAAACCACTTCCGGTGGCCAGTCTCCCTGTTATTTACTGTAGACTCCTGCCAGGCCGGAGGGAGGAGAGAAGACCATCTTCAGCTCAGGTTAGCCCTGCAGGAGCTCTGCTCTGTGTGCTGCATACGTGCAGTGCTCAGGGAGTGTGCCTCAGAGAGGCCTGGTGGGAAGCAAACCACATTAGCGAACTTTCTTTAGGAATCTGCAGAGGCAGGAAGGACAAAAGGGCAGGAGAGGGTGACAGTTTGGCCTGAATCTGTAGCAGTGTTCTGTACCTCTTCTCTTATCTTTAAAAGTGCACACCTATTTAGTTAGTTTTAAAAGAGTGGATTGTATTTGTAATGATCTGACTTCGAGGTGTAGTCTTTTGAATTTATGTTTCACTGACTTTGTACCAAAAATGTAATTCCCGTGGCCACCCTTACAAAAGCCTGGCTTCTGTGTTCTCATTAACACGTGAGACTTGACATTCCTATGGGACGTTACAAGACATTCGGTCTTGTCGCATACCAAACGTGGGGGGTCTCAGAATGGTCTGCTGACCCCCTTTAAGGTCTTTTGGTCTTTTGTGCTTTCTATTTCTTTCTCTGTGTCCTCCCTTACTTCTCGCTTCACAGAAATTTTAGATGGTTGCATGCTTTATTTTAAATTATTGTCTCTCAAGGATTATTTTTTACATCTCATTTTAAGTGTGTTTTATGGACATGTATTATTAGGTTTTATTGACATGTATTCTGTCAACAGATTTGATGAGAAAATTATATGTGCAAGGAAAGTCAAGAAGAAAAGGGTTTCAGCTGTAATTTGGGACTTTTTCTGCAAAGAATGTACAACAGTGAAAGAATGTACCGCAGGCGCCTCCAGTATGCAAAGCAAGTCCCTCCTAATGGATCTTATCGCAACTTCATGACCAATTTCTAAAAATATTTCCCGCAGTTAGCAGTAGGGAAAGACGAAGCGGGCATGCTGTGTGGGTTTCAGCGAGACGAGTAATCTGGAGAGTAAAGCCTTTTTATTTTTACAGGTTGCGAAAGCGACACAGATTCTGAATTTACCTTCAAAATGCAGGAATATAACAAAGATGATATGTCCTATCGGAGGATTTCGGCCATTGAACCAAAATCTGCTCTACCGTTCAATCGTTTCTTACCCAATAAGAGCAGACAGCCGTCCTACGTGCCGGCGCCCTTGAGGAAGAAGAAGCCGGACCGCAATGAGGATAACAGAAGGAGCTGGGCCAGCCCGGTGGGCACAGAAGCCGATGGGACGTTTCCAAGGTACTGGGATGCGATCTGGTGGTTGAGCTTTAAAATGTCCTGTGTTTGCAAATGTGCTGGGATATTGAAATGTGGTAAAAGGAATGGTCCTTAACCTGTATTTCATAGATAATATTTTACACTTCATTAATGAAAATTTCCTCCCCTACCCCCCCCCCCCCCCCCCGCCTTGTATTTTTAGTCACTCGTATCTTGAAGATATGTCTTCCATTTAAAATTGTCAGCATATGATTTGCTGGTTTTATTTTTTAGATGCCTGCCTTTAGCATTGTTGGTATCTTGCAGCTTACAGGGTGACTTACATTATTCCTTGGGAGCTCAGCTGTGCAGCTGTCCCCTCCCCATCCCCCCCCCCCCCATGTTGATTTCTCATCAAGTTAGCAGAGCAGAGTGTGACTTTTCAAATCCAGCTTCCTATCAGAAGGAGGCATGTGGTCCTGAAAGTGGATCAGATGCCGAGGATGAGCAAAGGTTGCCTTCCTGTGGTTTGGATGACTTAGCCAACCTTAGATTCCAAGTGAAAAAGAAGCCAGAGAGTTTCATCTCAAAACCTCTCCCTCCTAACTCTTGTTCACCATTATTTCCTCCTGCTGACCCGGTAGCCACCCACTGGGCTATGCGCACTGACGGGGTCAGAAAAATTTCTCCTGGGGCCAAATGTCTATCCTGTTGATTGCGTTACATAAAGTAACCCCCCCCCCCCCCCCCAAACTGTTGGCCAATTGTCTCTTTGTAGCACCGATTATTGTCTTTGGCCCTTGTGTATCAGGCTATTCTCTAATTAAAATGAGGTGCTGGGATGCTGCCGTGACTATCCTAGGGACATTCATGAGGAGTAGGGAAACTAATTTTGCTTCATTCGCAGTGTGATAGACTTTGGGAACCAGGAAGCATGCCTTTTGTGTTCTCTGTCACCCGTTGACCATGCAGTATCTTAATTGGTTGGATGTTTTGAACAGTAACGAGAGGAGAATTTGGGGCACAAGTGTGGAGAGCTGGACAGCAGTACAAGAAACTTCAAACTCCTTCTGTTACTTGGAGGAGGAGGAAGAGAGGACCAGCACCCCCGACACTGTAAAGGATGACCTTTATGTGCGAAAGCTAAGCCCCATCATGCCAAGCCCAGGGAACACTTTCGATCAGTTTCTTCCCAAATGTTGGATCCCAGAAGATGTGAACTGGAAAAGAATAAAAAGAGAAACTTATAAACCCTGGTATAAAGAATTTCAGGGATTCAGGTTTGTCTTCCTGCCTGATTCTGTCAGTCTGGTATTCCTTCAGTGCCCTGGCTGGGTGCGTTCTGTGTGTGCTTTTCACGGAAGAGACTGATTTCCTTCCAACATCTATAGAACCTCTATAACTGGGCGGGGGGGAAAGAGTCATTTAAATGTAAACGTTGGGATCTGGATCCGAACATGTCCTCCTCTAACCATAGTCATAGCTTGACATTATTTAGTTATATTTTTTCTCCAATTCTTTGTCTTCTTTCCTCTCTCCTTCCTGTCTCTGCCTCCTTCCACAGTAGAAGGATCCCAGACTTTGAGGATGAGGATTCAGGCTCTGACAGAAGCTCTGACATTTTTAGTTGGATGCAGAGAGCAGAGCGTAGGCTAGACGGCACCTGCCAAAGACGTTCACTCCTGATGGAAGTAGCCAGGAGCACACGGGACACCCAAGCAGCCAGGAGAGCCAGTGGTGCTTCGGAGCAGCCCAGGTGTACCTGCCTGCATGAGCCTTCCTGCTTGGAGTCTGGCATGCAACACCCGGCCGGCTTCTGCTGCACCATTAACCTCTGACCGTGACTTGTTGAATCATGAAACTGTACTCACTTAATATTTAGTGTAAAAGCATTATGTTCAGCATATTGCTTTCTGTGCAGGCATGTAAGCTTGGAAGTCTATAGGATTAAATGTTCTTTAGCAGAGTCACGTATAAAATAGAATAGAGTGATATGTGGCATAGTCCGTTCTTTTGGAAAACCATTTCTAAAAGGCCTTTGGAAAAGTGGACCACCCTAGCCGGTTCGGCTCAGTGGATGGAGCATCTGACTGCAGACTGAAGGGTCCCAGGTTCGATTCCGGCCAATGGCACATGCCAGGATTGCAGGCCCGATCCCCAGTAGGGGGCATGCAGAAGGCAGCCAATCAATCATTCTCTCTCATCATTGATGTTTCTCTCCCTCCCTCTCCCTTCCTCTCTGAAATCAATAAAAATATGTTTAAAAAACAGAAAAAAGAAAAGTGAACGTAATCTTACAGTTGTGCTATGCATGGAGATATAAAGGAAATAACTTCCAGATGGACAAGTGGACAGGAAAGTCTGGTGGGAAAATGCAAAGAGAGGAGTCACCAGGGCCTTTTAGCTTCAGAGCATTTTAGTTTTTAAATGTCTGCTTCCTCCCGGTGCCTATTGTATACAGTGCTCCATGACCAACTCTAAAACTTTTTCAAGATCATTCCTGCTTCTCTGGGATGAGAATGAGGTCATTGTGGCTCATGGAGTGAGGCAGAGATGACAGCAAGAGTTACGTTGTACTCTACTCAGCTCGAGCCCTGTCACTTGGCCTGCCTGGTGCCCACCTTTCCTGAGCTATATCCTCTGCTCCTGTTTCTTTAAGTGTACCCAGGAAAGTCACAGGTGATGGCATTTGGTGCTCGTCTTTCTTCCACACAAGAGCCGTTCCCATGCCCCCTATAATTAAACAATAATGGCTAGTTGGTCTGCTACCTAATTACCTGTTCTCCTTAATGCACTTAATAAGATTCTCCCTTCCTTTTTCTTTTCTGTGCTTCAGTCCGTTTTTACTACTTCAGGCCCTCCAAACATATTCTGACGACATCTTATCTTCTGAAACAAATATCAAACTTGATCCCACTGCTGGCCCAAGGCTCATAACTCGCAGGAGGCATCTCTCTTATGCCCCAGGGTATAGAAGAGGCGACCTTGAGATGTCTGCCCTAGATCCCGACTTAGAGAATGACGATTTCTTTGTCAGAAGGACTGGGGCTTTCCACGCCAATCCATGTGTCCTCCGAGCTTTCGAAGACTTCAGAAGGTTTTCTGACCGAGATGATCCAGTAGAGAGAGATATAATTCTGCAGTGCAGAGAAGGCGAGCTCGTACTTCCAGATCTAGAGAAAGATGATATGATTGTCCGGCGAATCCCAGCACAGAAGAAAGAGGTGCCTCTATCTGGGGCCCCAGATAGATACCAACCAATCCCTTTCCCCGAGCCCTGGACGCTTCCTCCAGAAATTCAAGCCAAGTTCCTCTGCATACTTGAAAGGACGTGCCCAGCCAAGGAGAAAAGTAGTAGCTGTAGAGTACTAGTTCCTTCGTGTCGGCAGAAGACAGATGACATGTTGACCCGGAAGATCCAGCACTGGAAGCTGGGAACTTCTGTGCCTCCCATCAGTTTCATCCCCGGTCCCTGCAGTGAGGCGGACTTTCGGAAGTGGGAGGCCATCCGGGAGGCCAGCAGGCTTAGGCACAGGAAGCGGCTGATGGTTGAGAGGTCAGAGTGTGTTTCTGCAAGGACTTTGCCTGTCCTGAATGGATGGTCTTGTGTTCCTTTTCTTGTGTGAGAACGTGGCATCGTGTTGCCCGACTGCATGTCTCGAGCCATTGTGAAGCATCCTCTAGACATTTATTTTGCTTTGAGAAACCTTTGCACGTTTCATAAAAAAAGTGCCATTCCATATTTGCATATCACCGAATCGCCTATGCGAGGCCCATTTCAGAAAGTGTGTACACAGTCACTGCCTTTGGCCTTAAGGAGAGACTGTGGTAGTATTCTGCAGCACGGTGTTTCATGAAAATGTTTTCTGATCACATTTACAGACTTTTATTGTGTCCAGGCGTTTCTGAAACAGTCCGGTTGTAGTTTGGTTTTATGTGTTTCTCATTTTGGAGTGTATGATTTTTGTGTAAGAATTTCCCTTAAAATATGGCATTGCAAGTTTCATTTAACTTGATTTTGATTTTTGTTTTTGACCTAGGTTTCTTGGACTATTAAGTGTGTGAATTTCTAAATTTATATTTTCAAAGTTTAGTGCAAACTTGATTAAAATGCATGAATGTTATTTGCTGTCTGCTGAATTTTACATGTATGCAATTATGGCCATTTTTAGAGTAATGAAAACTTGATGTTTGATAAATGGTCAGTTTGTTGAACTTTGGGATGGGCAAATGTGATTAGGTTGAATAAACTGAGTAGATGCAAATCTAACTTTTTTATTAGTTCCTGGCAACTAATAAATCTTTTTGTTTTGGATTTGTCAGTTCAAGCTAAATCTGAAAACTCTTGATCTTGCTTAATGTGAATTTCTTGAGATATGAGATCAATGAGAATTTGAGACATGATCAAGCACGTGACTGGAAAAGCAACCTTTTGAGATTTGTCCATCTCTTGTTAGACACTTAAGTTAAAAACGCCAAACATTTTAAAAAAAAATAACATACTGGAAGAAATGACTTTTAATTTTTGGTTTTCTGATTTCTTAGACTCTTTCAAAAGATTTATGGTGAAAATGGGTAAGTGTCATGGTTTGGGGCAAAAAAGAAATCTCTGCACATTGTTTGTCCTTTGTGTAATGTGTCATTGCACTGCTATCCTGGCATGTTACTAAACGTGGATGCTGTGTGCTATGCATGAGATTTTAAAATGGGGTATTTTTCTTAATTTAGCAACCTAATGGTAGTGTGTCTGAGTGCTCAGTGCATGAACTGCTATATCACAACAATAGAATTGCTTTATCAGTTCAAAATTCAGAGTTTTTTTGTTTTGTTTGTTTGTTTGTTTTTGAGTTGATTAAAAGTAACAGAAGCACTTACCTGAGATTGGGTATATTTACTTTGGTATTTGATTATTATATAGACCTAAGTTCTCCTTTCTGCATGTGGAAGACTGCATAGCTGCATTTTCGAAAACCTTTGTTGGAAAGAGGAAATTAGCATTTACTTTGAGGTTGGAATACATGCAGTGGCATTGCCTATATACTCCTACCTAGGTGGGCTTTCTTAGTTTGGATGGTGAATGTCATTAATCTTCCCTTAGTAGGATTTGGAAATATTTGATGTTCTAGAGTCAAATTAGCCTTCCAAAACTTGCAAAAATTAAAAACTTGGTAGTTTCCAGTATTATTTATAACTAATTCTTAATTTTTGTCTTTTTTTTTTTTTTAATTTTAGTTTCGTGATAGACATAAATATTATAAAAATAACTTTCTGGAAATATTTTCCATTTCCAGAATAGTAGAGTTAAAAGTAAATACTACTTTTACTTTTTACTACATACTAACTGTATAGTATCATTTATTCTTAGTGAAAAATAACCAGTGGCTACATATAAATAAATATTTTCCATTAAACTTCCTTTGATGTTGTGAGTCTAACTGTTAACATTTTTGAGCAAGAAGAAAACTTAAATATTTTAACCGATCTCTAATCAAATATCTTAAATTTAAGGCCTAAGACTGAATAGCAAAGTATCTTTCCCTACTTAATTCATCTCTAAGATTTAATTCATAAGATTCTCTAGTTTTGATGGTTTGATAGTGTAGAGGTCTTGAAAGTTGCTAAAATTGCTATTTATAGCAATATAACCATTATGGATGTCAAAGGTGTCGCTGAAGCACAGGCACATCATTGCAAGTACTTCTCAGTTGATGATTTTAAAAATCAGGCTCCCAGCCTGCTTTGCATATGCCATGTGAGGATACCTTGTTCCCTCCTCTGCTCCTCAGGTGTTAGAGCTTTCTCATCAGTGAGGATGAACAGGCCACTTCAACATGATGCTTAAGCATCTGCTCATCTTGATTCATCAAGGCAAAGCTGTTTTAACTTGATGAAGAACCTCTTTGCAGCTTCTGGCATTTTGAATGATAATTTTCAGAAGCATTTTCATTGGTAAATAAGATTTTTATAACGTAAATAGGTTGTTTTTCTTCAAGTGGTTACAAGTACCATGAGTACAAGTCATGTGAGGGATGGAAACAGGTACAGCTATTTCAAAGATTGTACATGTTCCTCTTTAGGGATATGTTACATCGGTATAACTGGGTTAAGAAAATAGAGAAACCCAAATGCCAAGGCTCAGAAAGCAAAAGCTTTTTATGGGCTGTCACTAGCAGGAGCAAATGCCGCCTGTAGATTATTTCAAGACTGTTGTTTGCCTAGTGTAGTGTTTATTATAAAGGCAATTTAGTGGCAAGGTAACAACACAAATAAAGAAAAATTGTAAGTTGAGACTGATGAATAATGTTTGCCTTGTCAAATAATGGAAAGTAACACAAATATATTTTCACAAAACTCAATTGCATTTTAAGCCACTTGCAATAAAAAAAAATCTACTATATGGTATTTTTCTCCCTATATTCTATCAGTTATTGATATTTTTCTTAAATTGATCTGTAATGAAAACAAAAAAATTGGATTGATTATAGGCTTTTAATATGGAACTCACTTCATGTTTATAAAGATGTCCATAAGTGTTTATAAGCATAAAACAACTGATATTTCTGGGTGATATTTCTCTGGACATAATGTATGTTATCTGGAAAATCATTATTGTTCAACATCCTATGGTTGAAAAATAATGAGTGCCTTTTTTTTTTTTTTTTTGTAAGGACCAGGTTAAAGAGAAATCTGTATTAAAATTTTGCAATTGTAGGTTATTAATTTTTGGCTTGCTTTTTATTTGGCATTTAACACTTGTCACTTGTGTATTTTTAGTAAGACGCTTTGTATGTGGCAGTCATTTCTCACATGTGTGCTTTTGTGTTGCATGGACTTATGCCTTATGGTCTTGGTGGATGCTCTAAGGGCAAATATGTAAGGGTGTACAGTAATAATTTTGCAGTATGATTAAGCCATTGAATCTGCTGCCAATCATCTTTTTATTGCCAAGACAAGAAAAAGAAAGGGAAAATAATGTTGATGTGAGTTACTTTATGAGGATTAGGCTGCCAGGAAATATTTTACAATATCTGCAGACTCTTTGTCATACTGGGTGAGCTTTTTTTTTGGGGGGGGGGGGGGGGCTGGCATTGCTACTGGCATCTAGTTCCTTTACAGCAAGGATGCTGCTAAATGCCTTTGGGTAAGCAGGATAGCCCCCAACCACAGATAATTTTCTGGCCACAAAATGTTAATAGTACTGCTGTGGAGAAACCCCACCTTTAGACTATAAACTTATAAATGAAAAGTTTCCTTTATATTGTTTATCAATCTATTTTATGGCAGCTCTAAAGCCTTTTACCCTGGTTTTAATATTGATTACCCTTTAGTTTGGTGAATTCCTGCAACACCTAATGGAGGTATATTAGTAGAGAGTAGGGCAAAAGTAGGTGTATAATTGTTCATATGGAAAATAATACAATAATTATTCAATAATAGTACAAGCATAAAGCTTCACATACTCACAACTGCAGACCTACTTTCACCCCATGTATTTGTAGATGCATAAATAAGTATATTTATATCTTCCTCTGAAGGTTGGGGCCTCTTAATATCATAGAATTTCTATTTGCCCCATGAGGCTATCAGTGATTTTTATAGTAAGGAAATTTTTCTACACGCTAATCCTTTTTGATCCTTTACTCCTTAGATATTCATCTGTAAGTTTTATGAAATTGAGTTCTAAAATAATATGCATCATAAAACTAGTCAAAAAGTGCCAGGAGAGTAGCAGTTGATCAGTATCGTGGGAGAAGAGAGTAAGATTCTAGTAATACTGTTTTATAATCTATACCTTTGTTTCTTTACCTATCCCCTTCTTTCTCTCTCTACCCCAACTACTCGAGTCGATTCAGCTAAAAATGCCACATATTAGACCTATATTTTTATTTTTGTAAAAAATCCAAAGCAATTCTAAATGGAAGCCTCCCCAATTTTAAGGGTGGCAGATAAATGAATTGTAAGAATTGTGATTGGCTAGTGAATATTAGAGCATGCAGTCTTTCATAGTTTTCGCAAACAGTTTTCCTGAGACTATCCTTGGTGCTCATTTCATTTCTGTAAGATAGACAGGTGGATATTATATGCATTTTAGAAACATGGGGAAAGGGAAGCAGATACTGCAGCTTTCCCAAGGTCGTCCAGCTAGTGAGTGGTAGAACCAGACTGAAGTTTTGTCTAATGAGATAATCCCGGTAGGCTGCTTGGCTCACAGTAAGTCCTCAGAAGTTTATTATGCTGTCAACTCTGATAAGGACAGAAAGAATTCTTCATGATCTGGCTAGAACACTCCCGTACTCCAAAAGTTCTAGATTTTATCAGCGTGGCCTGGGATGACCTCTCTTATTTGAAACTGCTTTGGGAGTTAGTTTTCAGAAGATCCCACACAGTTACATTTGCCTTACTAAGAAGAGTTGGTGTACAGCACGAGATGGCTGTTGCTATGCAGTCCACATAACCTCCCCACGTCTCATAACGATCCCTTTCTTGAATGTGGAATGGAGGCTCAGAGAAGTGAAATGAAGTTAGGTTGGGATGAAAACTGGTGCCATAGTCGGGCATGGAGCCCCCACCTCCTGTCTCATTCCAGTGCCTGGCTCAGCCTGTATGGAAAGTGCTCAAGCTTCTGTAGGAAACTTTATGCACCCGAGGGAACAGAAGGAGCTCACATTCCTGCTCTGCGCAGGGGCTTGTCAGCTCCTGATCGTGTTTGGCTCACTTTGTTCACGTTGGGCACCACCTGTGTGCCAGGCTCAGTGCGTGGGCTCTCGGGACGTTGCTTTGCCCATGATGGTATGTTTTTTGAAAAGACACAAGTTCAAGTTCTGCAGTGCAGACAGGGAGGTCTCACAGAGCACCAGTGTAGAAGTCTGGGCCAATTGACACCAGCTAGTCTCCCCCCCTCCCCCATAATATTACTGTCATATTTGCATTTGCATTTTTGTTGTAAAATTCTCACAATCTCATGTTTTAAGTATCCAGATTCCCTTCATGTCTTGATCTTGAACATTTTTCCTTGCCTCTTTTTGGTGAGTCTGTTACAGTATTAGCTGAAATAGCCTAATTCTTTGCAGTTTATGAGTTCAGTAAATTTATATCCTCAAATTTATACAAATCAGTTTTATATAGTCATACCTAGTTAAGTAATATTACATTCATAAAGCAATATATAATTTCATATATAAATTTATATATTTCCTATATATAATTTTTTAGTATTCCTTAATAAATCCTATAAAGCTTTCTTTATAAAACTTTGGGAAGGAGTTATACATTCTTACGGAATATTAGAAACATTTCAAGTTTATTTTGCTTGAATTAAATGTGGTGAAACATTCCTCATTCTTACCACGGATGTTAAATGCATGTATCCTGCATGCCTTGTGCTATGCTTTCCTCCCAGACAACATGTGCACCTGTGAGGGAGCTAAGCCAGACATGCACGCTTGTGCACACACTATGTACACAATATGCTGAGTATGAAATACCCTAAGAACGGTAGAACTAAAGCCCTAGAGAAGTTGGGAGAAGGGACAGACAGACCATCTTTGGCATGGAGGAGCTAGGGAGACTTTATCAAAGTAGCAGAATATTACCTAGATCATTAATACATTTATGATTACATGCATGGGCTGGGCTCTCTTGGAGGCACAGGTGATACAGCCATAAACAAACCGGACAAAACTCCTGCTTTGTAATCTTATAGGACAAGGCAGGTGGTGTCGACATAAGCGTACATTTCAGATGGCAATATTTGCTAGGGAGAAAGGTGGGCCAGGGGAGAGGGACATTTGCTATTTTTGCAAGGTGGTCAGGGAAGGAAACACTGAGGTAACGTTTAAGCAGGTGACTGGGAGCGAGAGGTAAGCCACGAAGAGCTTATATGTGAGCACGAACAAGGAAACCAGTTGGCAGTAGCTGAGTGAGTGGAGGAGATGAGTGCAGAGATGTAGGTGGGGACCAGGTCATGGTTGGACCTTGTAATTCTTGGTAGGATCTGTTTTTAACTCGAGTGAGATGGGAAGGATCTGGGGTGGTGCCTAGACACAAGATCTGAGAGCAGTTTTGAAGACTCCTCTGTCTGCTATATTGAGAATGCACTGTTATTGGGCAGGAAGAGGTGGAAGTAGGGAGACAGATTATTGTGATAATACCGAAGGAGACATGATAGCCTGGAGCAAGGTGGTAGAGGTGGAGGTGATGAGGGGTGGTTGTATCTTAGATATAGTTAGAAGGTAGAGTGACAGGTTTTACTAAGGAGATCAGCTACCATGTATGAGAGAAAGAGAGAAGTGAACATTGTGCTGACTTTTATTGGGATGATAAAGATGGGTTTTGAGCAGGTAGTAGAATGAACAATCAGGGGTGTGGTCTGTGATAAGTTTGAGTGACCTGTTAGACTTCCAAATGGTCATTGCTTACACTCATCCGGAAGTTAGCAGGGTTTCTGAGGATGGAAGGGCATTTGAAAAGGCATATATACTGGGAAGGGGTGTTGAGTGGAGGGAACCGTTCAGGACCATCACTGGGTCTGGAGACTGGGTGATAATTGAAGAAGCTTTTAAAAAAGTCTAGTTAAGAGTTGACTGTGCTCTGATCTAGGGTGTTGGCAATAGAAATGGAAAGAAAAAGACACTGAGTGAGAGGACTTGATAACTAATTGAACGTAGGGAGAAGGGAGAGGCAAAGGTGAAAAATGGTTCTTTGGTTTCAGATGTGGACGATTGGAGAGCAGGTAACACTACTAACAGCTATAGGAGGAAAAACAGAGTTGAGGACAGAATTGAGTTTGGCTACATTAACAATAACGATGTATTTAGTGAGTTATTGTTTGCAGAATCCTTTTTGATATTATTTCATTTGGTCCTCTTACAATTTAGATGGTTAGGGGATGTCCATGTAGAGATGTTTATCTAATGAGCAATTACAATTGAGTCTAAGGAGGGGACTGGTCCTTATCTGTGGATTTGGGAGCCATTTGCATAGATTATAATTGAATTCCTGAGCTTAGTAATGTGTGATGGCAAGATCTAGGGAAAGGCAAAGTTTAGGGGCCCAAGAAGGAGGTGTTGTGTTACTTAAGCGACTAAAGGTGGAGTCACCTACAATGAAATAAAATCAGAAGTGCCTTATGAAAGATTTGTATGAGAGAGCATTTTGGGCACTCCACCTTCAAAAGCTCTGTCTCTCTCTATCTCTCTCTCTTTACTCATTCTTACCTGCTCATCAATATTAGACTTGATTCCACTCTTCCCTCACTCCCCCATAGTTTCACCTTCTCTGGGGCAGTTTACCCCAACTTTTTATGGGTGCATGTATGTAGCACATATGTGCCTTATGTCTGTCACCCAACTTTGTTCATTAGTTTCTACTCTTGATTGAGCTCTGTGAGAGCTAACTCTCAGTACATCCTCATGGCAGGGGCACCCATAGACGACACTGAGAGCTGCCTTAATAAAAAGAAAGATAAGGAGGCTATATTATAACTGGGTATTAGAAGCTACCTGTGGTGCTTTGAGAACAAGTCTAATGCAGTGTTGGGCGGGTGGTATAGAATCTGCGAAAAAGCAGCAGCACATTTATTCATGCTATTGAACTTGAGGAGAAAATATCAGGTAATCATTAAATTATTTAATAAGTGTCCAGAAAAGGCAGCCAAACCTGAAAAGATTATCTTGGGGAGAGATAGAAAAATAAAGACAAATGATTCTAGTGACTAATAATAATAATTTTTTTTTTCTGAAACAGTTCTTTTATTCAGAGACCACTCTACATATGAGCATTGGATTTTTTTCTTTTCTTTTCAGACGTAGGAGGTTTCACTTAGCCATCTTGTGAAAGAATTCACACCTGAGTTGCATGCAAGGCTCTTGTTTCTGCGTTTTGGAAAAACACCATTTATCTCTGTAGTGCTATTTCTGTGACATTATCTCTAAAGCATCTAGGTAGTACGGCAGAAATTTAGATGGAATTTCCAAGTATAAGCCCAGCCTCCCAGTTCTAACTCTACGTCCAGTCATGTGAACCTCGGTTACTTCTGTTATAGGAGCAAGTCCATGAGCGATGTCAGCGCCGAGGATGTTCAGAACCTGCGTCAGCTGCGTTACGAGGAGATGCAGAAGATGAAATCCCAGCTAAAAGAGCAGGATCAGAAATGGCAGGATGTGAGTATGCCTTGTACTGGGTGGGAGAGGGGAAGACAGGGCAAGTGTGTGTGTGTTTGGCTTTTCTTTGCTTCCCTACAAAGAAAGTCTGTGTACTCAAGAGGTGGTTTTCCTTGCTATTAGAGAACTCAGGTTTGTAGAAAATGTGACCAACTTCCTTTAAGATTATTAAACCTTCTTGGTCCATGACTGTTGTATATTTGAAAGGCCAAATTGTGCAAAAACACAATAGGCTGTTGATCTTAATGTTCTCTGGATTCTCCTATGTGAGAAGCTCCTTCCTGGCCGTGCTGCTAATTGAATCGGGTGGGACCGCGACTGATCTGGTGAAAGGAAAAGGCTCTGCTCCATGTCTGGGAAGCAGAGGGGCAGGGCCTCGGCAGAACCTGGGCATCAGTGTGGAGAGATGAACTGGTTTTCAGAGTTTGTAGAGGAGATTTAAGAAGAAACAGTATGGTTGGAAATGTAATCATATAATCTGAATCAGAGTTGTTAGGTGTTTTCACAGAACTGCCATAGTTTTGTTCCTACAGAAGGGAGCTTGGCCTGTTTTGAAAGGAGTAATTGTTATAAATCAAAGCAGAGCATAAAAGTATTATAAGCTATACAAAGCAAACCCAAAGATGTTTGAGGACATCTTTATGGTAATAGAGTTGAGTGGTAGCATGAACAAAAGGCCCAGAGAGAGTAAATCTTAATTTTTTCAACCCCTGCTGTGGCCACTTTTCAAAATTCCAGTGCCTCTTTGAGGGGGGGGACTCAGTTTAATTGTCAGGAAACAGGAATTCCATGTCATTTTGCCAACATGCATGGCAACTGTCTGGGGTGTGAAAATAGTGTTGAGGAGTCATCAGTTAGGTTAGGTCAGATAGAAATTCATGCTTGTGATCCTGTAGGAGGAAATGCACACTTTTGTTCTTTCTGCAAATGGTTCCTATAAGGTTCAGGCTGTGTTTAAAGCAGGAGTGGCTTGGTCTGCTCCAGAGGGTTTAAAACCAAACTTAATGTTGCACGTCCCAGGGGTGAGATTCCTTTTAGTCTGAGAACTCGGAGAGGCTTCTACTTGGGCCAGAATGACTCGCAGTTCTTAATATGGGACTTCTCTGTTTGGGAAACATAGAGAAGGTTGTACCATTGAAAAATGCCTTAAGCCCCTGGATGTCAGAACCAGCTTAGACTGCTAGGGCTAACGTCAAGCTGAATCAGGTTGATTGTCCAGGGTTCACCTGGCGAGGAGAGACTTCCCTTCCCAGGAACATGGGAAACAGTGTCCCCTTGTTCTGTGTGATCTTCCTTATTGCCCTGTCCGTATGTAAAGCTTATCCACTTTGAAGAAGTCAGTACTCGAGGCTGGCCTCCCCAGTCAAGCCTTTTGCAACCCCTGCCTGAGGTAGGCCATGCTCTCCTTTTGACCCCTACTCTCTCTGCAATCCTATCGCACTCACTGCTGAATTGTTATTCACATGCCCGTCTTTCCCTTCCAGACTGAGAGTTCCTGGGCGGGGGTGGGGGTGGGGGGCTGGGGAGAACATCTGATTTATCTTTGTTTATACACCCTTTGCCTCCAAGCAGGGACCGAGCTCAGGGCTCATTCAATGGAAGACCCAGTGTGCATCCACGCTTAGCCATTTTATAATTATTTTCTCTGCTAGTTTCACTGGTGAAGAAATGTCATTTCATATAGCAGCCAGGTTATTAGAGTGAGATGAAAATGAACTTGAAACAGTTCCTGCTCCTTCTGACCTGGCACCTAATTACAAGCATTTAGCATTCTTTGTGAAATGGGCAATGAGGCAGGAAAACAAAAATGGGGTCTGTCTTATTAGGTCAGGTTTTTTAGGCAGACACATGAGATAAAGGCTTGGTACAGAAACGCTGGCTATAAAAAGCAAAATTAGGGCACCTTGGCATCAAGTGGGAGTGAATAGTTTCAGCGATGTAATGGGATACGCTGGCATGCTCTCACTGCTAGAAAGGGTGTGTAGCCATTCAGGTATGCCTGTGCTGATGTGATTTTCTTCTGTTAGGACCTTGCAAAATGGAAAGACCGTCGAAAAAGCTACACTTCAGACTTGCAGAAGAAAAAAGAAGAGAGGGAAGAAATTGAAAAGCAGGCGCTGGAGAAATCCGAGAAAAGCTCTAAGACATTTAAGGAAATGCTGCAGGACAGGTAATAGGCTGGCTAGATCTCCTGGTCTGAGAGACCAGTGTTAGAAATGGACATTTTGAGCATGTGCAGGGTGATTAGACTGTAACCAAATATGCAATGAAACTTTCAGCATTTTGCTTAGCAGTGAAAAAGCAAAGTATTGCTATGAAAAATAGTGGCTTGGATTGACAAAAGAATTGAGTACTAAATAGATATACATTATTTCTTCATTTACATTGGCTATTCATATGCAGTGGGTGGTGTTGGCTATATTTGGTGCAGAAAAGGGACTATTTTTTTCCTCCTTTTAAAATGAATTTAGGAATGGAGTAGTCAAGTAAAACCAGCTCCCACACTCAACTAAATTGTGTAAAATATAACAGAGTTATTTCCACATTCCAGTGTTACAATTAAAAAGGAAAACTATACAAAAATGAATTGTGAGGGTTTATTTTTTGCATTGCAACATAACTGAGTAAAGGTCAAATTAAAATTTCCTGTTAGAGCAGTTACTCTGTGAAACCTTGGGTTAGGTACAGCTCAGGGAAATGGCAAATATACTTTAAGGATAATGTCGAAAAGGAAATGTGCTGTCAGGTGAAATTACACAAAGCTCCTTTATGCCCCAGAAGCCAAATGCAAACACAGTTTCATTCATTTAAATGCAACTGTCAGCTTAAGAGGCACTCCTTACTAAATGCTAGAGATGAGACTGTTTCATCATTTTCTCCATATGTATGAGTGGTGACTTTTAATCTGTAATGACTGTCCGTGCAAATTCTATGAAGCTGTATGAAACTAGGTGATAACTTGATCTTAATGGAAGTCTGTGTTTTTTGCAGTCTTTTATTTTTACTATATTATTATAAATCATGTACAGGAAATACATGGCTGACAAGGAATCTACATCTTTGAAGGGTTGAAATTGGTTGCCAGGCAGTTATTTTTATAGTGTGTCAAATTTGGAAGAGTTATACATTTGTGGATAAATTTGGTGAATGATTCCTTATTAAAATTTTCTTTCCTTATTTTTCTTTACAACTTAAAAAAAAAATCCCTGTGAATTATTTGGGAACCTCTCTGAAAAGAAAAGTCAAACCCTTATAATATTTCTTAGTGTGGCATAAAACAATTGCATGTATTTATCCTCACCTCATATTCTGTTAGTATTATATTGCACATCGTGTGAAGTTAGTATTATATTGCACATTATTCCCAGCTCATTTTGTATGTTAATTACCAAAATAAGACCTGTCTCTCCACCTTGGAATGCCAAATGCCTAACTTTGCTGCCATGGTGTTTCCACTAAGGGAATCCCGAAATCAGACGTCTACAGTTACATCGAGGAGCAGAATATATTCTTCTGATGATGCATTGAATGAAGACAAGCTTCCCCTGACACTAACAATGTCAGAAGCAAGTCATCAGGGGGAGAGAGTAGAAGAGAAAGGAACAACATACCCTACAGAAATCCCTAAACAAGATTCTACAACTGTGGTGAAAAGAGAGGACCCTCTACCTGCTGAAATTCAGCTTCCCTCTAAAAGCCCCACGGAAAAACAACGCCCGGCCCCTTTGTCTGCCCAGCGTTCGCTGACTACACAAATGGAGTCGACTCGAGTTTCAGCTTCTCTCCCCAGAAGTTACCAGAAAACTGATACAGCTAGGTTGACATCTGTGGTCACACCGAGACCTTTTGGCTCTCACTCAAGGGGAATCTCATCGCTCCCGAGATCCTACACGGTAAAAAGTGTTCTCAGTTCATATACTCGATTCTCATGAGCAAACTGTTGGTGTACTTGTGCAGAAGATTGAGTTATGTATATTTAATATGTACAATGTACATAACATGTATAACGCAATTTTTATTTTAGCCAATGCAGAGTTCATAGATATTTCATGCTACTTAATGCTTACAATGTAGCAATGGTACAGAATTGATTAAGCTTTAAATTCAATGAAAATAGAACTGATACATTTTGAAGAATGAATAAGCTACATTCTAAGGCAGAGAATTTATTTTTTAGCATCAGATTTTCTCAGATATAGCTTTTGTAAAGTAATAGGTTGAACTATATGAAATTGCCAGATGTCAGTACTTTTAGACTTACAAAACATCAGTTTCATATGGTTTGACTTAAATATTTTCAGTTCTTATGTACAAATGTTTACTTTCCGTCATTTTCTACTTCATAAGAACTTGATATGTTTGAGTGTAGTTATTAAAATGTATCTTAAGTTCAAAAATTGCATATTTATTTCTATTTGTATTAGTATTTTTAAAGATATGGAATCGTTTGCCCTAAGAATAAAGCAGTATCACAGACTTGAAAGTGGGTTTACTAATTTTCATTATATAGAAGGAAGCAATACACTTCATACTGTCAATGTTCAAATTCCTTTTTTTCTCTGCCAATGTGGAATCTTTTAAAATCTAAAAGAGGAAAAATATAATTTAAAAAAATTGAAGTGAGGGAAACTTGTTTAAATAGCCAGGAAGAACTCCTGATCATTATCTTAAGTAAAATACAGTCATATTTGACAACATAAAAATTAAATTTATATGACAGACACTTTTAACATAGTCAAAAGATAATTTATAGACTTGGGAAAAATATTAGTAGCATGTATTATAAATATAGGGTCAATATCCCTAAGGTTTAAAATGGCCCTACAGGTTGGTAGGGCCATTTTAAAAACATAAACCAATAGGAAAATGGGTATAGAAATGAATAGCCAGCTCAAGAGAGAGGGGATTTAAATGGTTGATAACATAAAGGACCTAGGTGCATGTTCAACCTCATTAGAACAAGCATGAGCCGAAACCGATTTGGCTCAGTGGAGAGAGTGTTGGCCTGTGGACTGAAAGGTCCCAGGTTCGATTCCGGTCAAGGACATGTACCAGGGTTGCGGGCACATCTCCAGTGGGAGGTGTGCAGGAGGCAGCTGATTGATGATTCTCTCTCATCTATGTTTCTGACTCTCTATCCCTCTCCTTTCCTCTCTGTAAAATATCAATAAAATATATTAAAAAAAAGAGCAAGCATGAGGTGTACAACTTCTCACCCATCAGATTCAAAATGTCTAGTGTTGTCAAGGATACAGAGAAACGGACATTTAAAAAAATATATATATATTCTTATTGATTTTAAGAGGGAGAGGGGGAGAGAGGGAAAAGAAAGAGAGAGTTAGAAACATTCATGAGAGAGAAACATCAATATCAACCTGCTACTTCCTGCATACCACCCCCTGGGGATCAAGTCCGAACCCTAGGCATGTGTCCTGACTGGGAATCGAACCAGTGAACTCCTGGTGCATAGGTTGATGCTAAACCATTGGGCAATTCTGGCCAGGCGAAACAGACATTTTATACATTGCTTTGGGTGTGTTTTGCTATAATTTTTAAAAGATATTATATATAATTTATATGTAAATACCATTTGGTCTAGCAAGTCCACTTTTGGAAATCTGTGCTATAAAAATATTCTGATTATAAAGATAAATGGGTATTTGTTGCAGTGTTTTTGGAAGTTACAGAAAAATGTGAACACATTGAATGCATATCACATAAATAAATTGTAGATATCCATACTATAGAGTATTCAACAATTAAAAAGAGTAGAGTTCTATCTACTGACCTGGACTAATGTAAATGAGCAAAGCAAGTTTCAGTTTGTTTATAATATAAATTCTTGTGAAAACAACTCCTCCTCCTACACGGGTATGAAAAAATGTGCTCCAAGCTTTTAGTAATCTTTACTAAAATATGACTGTACACATTTAAAAACAGAAATCCAATAATACCAAGTTTAAAATGATGTTTCCTGTTTAGATGGATGACGTTTGGAAGTATAATGGAGACATAGAAGGCGTTAAGAGAACTCAGTACAGTTCGGTCAGCACCTCTGTGCAAAAGTCTGATCCAAGCCAGCTGGCTTCCAGCTTCTTCAGTGAAAGAGAGGCAGTGACATCAGGAGAGGGTGTGATGAGGTTGCCCTCTCCTACACCCCCCTTCTCGTCTCTCTCCCAGGACTGGGCTGCCACTTCTAATGCTACCTGGTCTTCAGTATCTGGCCCCAATTCAATGCCTGAACTTGGAGAAGGGAGAAGCTCACCACAGACAGAGGTGTCACCATCAAAGGTGAGTTTGGGATGGCATGTAATCACCCAGGGTCAGAAACACAAGTATCTAAACTGGAACCCCTACCTCTAACCCATGTTTCTAGGCATTGTGGTTGGTCACATGGGCTGATAATGTGGAATGTAAGCTTGCATTTATATTGAGCAGATCTTGGAGGAAGTAGGTCTCTTCTAACTCTGAGTTTATGGATTCAGATGGCCCTGTGACATGGGTGTATTGAGTCTGTTGGCCAATCTCCTTGGGGTTTATTTGGGTGTTCTTTCCACTGCTCATCTGCTGACTTTTCGCTGCAGAGCAGTCCTGGATTCAGGTGCAGGACTCACTCCGGAAGCTTTAGATACAGGTCTAATAGATAAAATGGATAATAAATGCCCCTTTTCAGGGACATTAACTGACCGAAAGGAGAAATTGGTACACACGAGAGGTGAAGGCCTCTACGGACATGGCATTTCTTTCTCTATCATATTAACCTTCTAGTTACTTTCAATGCTCATTTTATACTTTAAAAAGTCTAGTCCTAATGGTAATATTGAGGGTTAGTTACAGTATGACAATTGTTTTTCTTAACATTTGGAATCCAAACAAATATACCATCAGATGAAGAATGGAGGTATTTGTAGTTTTTCCTTCTTCAAAACCCCAAAGATGACAACAGAATTATTAAGTAATGACTGTTTAAAAAAAAAAAAAAAAAAAAAAAAAATATATATATATATATATATATATATATATATATATATATATATAATTGATTTTTTACAGAGAGGAAGAGAGAGGGATAGAGAGTTAGAAACATCGATGAGAAACATCAATCAGCTGCCTCTTGCACACCCCCTACTGGGGATGTGTCTGCAACCAAGGTACATGCCCTTGACCAGAATCGAACCTGGGACCTCAGGCAGACGCTTTATCCACTGAGCCAAACCGGTTTCGGCATGACTGTTTTTTTTTTTTTAGTATGTTTTATATGCAAGCTATAAAGCTGTTAATGGTCTAGAAGATCAAGCTTTTCTCTTTTAGAAAAAACCATCCTTAAGCACTTTAATATATTAATCTCTTTGCATAGAGGAGCTTTTGCAATTCTTTAACTTAGTGGTTAAAGATTTTTCTGGTTCCTTCCTATTTGTTTTCCAAGGTACAACATGAAGTATAGAACATGGCCTAAGTTATAGACTTTATGTGAAACTAGAAGCCCAGTGTATAAAATTTGTGCACAGGGGGATGGACCGAAACTGGCAGGGATTGGAACAAAACTGGCAGATGGACATCTCTCTCACAATCTGGGACTGCTAGCTCCTAACTGCTCACCTTCCTGCCTGCTTGATCACCCCTAACAACCCTCCCCCCCACCACCACCCTGATTACCCCTTACTGCCTCTGCCTGCCAGCCTGATCACCTTTAACTGCCCCTCTCTGGTTGCTCCCAACTGTCCCTCCTGCCGGCCTGGTTGCCCCATGCAGCCTGCTGGTCAGTTATTTGGTTGTCCCTTGCAACCCTCCTGCCAGGCATTGTGACCAATATTACCCTTTTATTAGTATAGATAATTTGAAATAGCATATTTTTTTGGTATATTGGATTTTTATTAGTTCTATAAAGTTTTACAGCTTTAAGTTTTTTCTTCTGATTATAAAGTACTATGTAGTTGCAAAAATTTGGAAAAGCAGGAAAGTAATTCCATTATTAATGGGTGATCTTTGTTAGCATTTAGGTATATTTCTTTAAGCTTTTCCTATGCATTATCTAAAGTAAATTTTTGCAGCTTGCTAAAATCCTTAGTGTGAAGTTACTTTTATAATTTTCATTTTTTTTTATTACTTTAAAAAATTTTATTTTTCAATTACAGTTTATACTTAATGAAATTTGATGTCAGTTTCAGGTATTTAACTTCATTTTAAAGAATTGGAAATATTAGTTAGCAATATGAGTTTCAGATGAGAACAATAGCCTACGTTATACTTGGGGAACATAAGGTACCAGTGGATGAATAATACAAACAGCAGCCAGGTGTCTTTTGTTTTAGGGACTTGCATGTGAGCTTTCCCCTTTCAAGCAGCAAATCCAAACAAGCAGCCTGATCAGTGTGTGGGCGCTCGGTGCACCCAACTCCCTCCGGCGACAGTTGACTAGCTTCCATCCACGGATTAAGAAGAGGCTCGGTGTGGTGTGTGGGTGTGTCCCCGCTTAGTGCAGGTCAGAGGAACCTGAATTAACATGGCATGGTGTCAGGTTTCATCCTTAATGGGTTTAGGCTTCTTTGTCACCAAGCTAATTAGGCTTCATCTAACGAGTGGGACCATTAGAGTTCTTAAACATAGGTGTGTGTCCTGTGGCCACTTTCCCATCACGGAGATGCTGGGTGTGTCACTTCAGAGCGAAGTAGCTTATGTAGCATCCCCCCACCCATGTCACTGAAAAGGGGAAAACACTGTGAAGGCATAAAGCAGTTGGTCATTAATGTTCCAAGGCATATGGAACACTCCTCCAAACTCTTGGCCAAACTATAATTCCAGGAGTTCACAGAATGGAAAAGTTAAAGCATAGCGCGTGGCTGAACCAGGTGCCTTGGTAGTTTTATAATTGTTCTTCGGGTCTTCATTCTCGCTCTTTTCTTGCACTTTTGCTAGGAATGTTCTTTTCTTTCTTCCTCCAGAATCTTCCCTGATGTTATGGTTTTCTCTCCCTGCTTCAGTGGAAGTTCAGGCCCTGCACCCATCAATGCAGATGCTTTGTAAATAGTCACATGTGTTGGTGCATTCCACAGAGCCTGGCATCGGAGGCACCTGGGTGGTGCCAGGTTGGACTAATCTCTCGCTGCAAAGCCTCAGTGATCTGCGCAGTGAAGTCCAGGGCATTCGGGAGTATTGCGGTCCCTCATCACTATCTCAAACTCCTGTAGTAGTGCAGTTAGCGGCTGTTTATTGAGGGATTACCAACCTCAGGGCATTAGTTAGTCCTCAGTGATCTTTGGATCACTGCTTTATAGTTGTGGAAATGCAGGCAGGAAGTAAGCATAGTACTTGTCCAAGGCCCTGCCAGGTACTGAGTGGTGGAGTCTGGATTTGAACCCAGGCAGTCTGACTCAAGCTTCCTACCTACACCACATCGTGTTGTGGGAAAGAGAGAGGAAGTAGGTGATCTAGCCAAATGAGACTGTTTGAACACATAAAATATTTGTTTTTATTGTCACCCATTTGAAATTGTTTATTTCACCCATTTCCGTCTTTTGAAGAAGTCCTCCTATTCTTTTATAGCCCAGAAGGGTTCTATCCTTTGTGAATACAAATATCTCCCTCCCCAAGTTGGAATTGAATTTTTCACCCTTGAAAGCTCCATCTGCTGAATTCTTCCTTATTCCATGTGTTCCCTGTGCCTCGTCACTAGTGTTCTTTATACCCTCCACGGCCTTTGCACAGAGTTGGAAGTGTTTGCTGACTTGATTTGCATTTAGGGCCCTGATTACTAGGCTGAAGCATAAATTTATCCAGCAGGTAACTTAGTTCCTTATGGGATCTTTAATATGGGAGTTTTAAGATGAATGGTTGTTTTAGGAACGTAAGCACTGTGATGTTGCATAGAACTATTTTAAGGAAATGAAATCTGCGTGCAGAGACTGGTTGGGAGCCTATCACAGAATTGTGGGGTTATGCCATAAAAAAGGAAAGGCATAGTGAGAAAAAATTGATATGACCTCATTTCCTGCCTACAGGGGTTTCTTTCCCATCTTCTTTGCTGAGCTCTGGGATTTTAGTCCTCTCTATTCCCTTTCTCCCTAGTTTTCTTTTTGTGTTGCTCTGTTGCCTGCTTCCCTTGCCAGTCCAGGCTGCTGGGACAATTCTGGGGGTGACCCTGAGCAAGAGGAGAGAGTCCTTCATCCTCTTCTAACCACCCCCAGGTGTGGCTTTCATGTTTTTCCCCCAAATTGTTGTTACCTACAGGTTTTCATTTTATTTTGTCCAGTCAGAGCCCTGAATTCTCAAATCCCATCCAAGCCCACATATTTCAATCTGTTCCCCTGATTTTTTTTTTTAAACAGTACCCACATCTAGAATGATATGTATGGAAGGAAGCTTTTTACATGTCCATTTCCTGACCTCTGAGCCTATTAAATGCCCCTTTTAATAACACCCAGGGCTTTCCTTATCACAGCTTCATACATGCATTTTATTGGCTTGTCACCTTCACTAGAGCTGACTTTGTGTGAAGGCAGGGAACAAGCCGGTCTTGCTCACTGTTAGCACAGTGTCTGGGTCTGTGTTTGCTGAATGTTGATTGAGTATTGTTGGCTTCACAGCTATGTTTGTGAGTGTTAAATAGGATTTTCTTTAATTGCTTAACCAGCATATATATAATGGATAACATTGTTTCCATGGGAAAAAGAAGGTAATTACTAGGCACCAACCACCTGCCTTGGCACCTTTTAAATGTTTCATTTATTCCTCTCAATAACCTTGCAAAGTAGGTGGTATCATCCACCTTATTACCAATGAAATTCTTGAGATTTGAAAGTTATATACATGCTCCAGGCCAGTTAAATGATCAGGCCACAAATATGATTTCTCTGACCTTAATGTTTATGAAATATGACTTGCTCAAATTTGAGAACTGCCTTAAGGAAAAACACCAAATGTTGACTTATTTTAACTTTGCCCTGTCTTTACCATTTTGGAGCCCATAGGGACTGAACTATCTTCTGGTTTATAAAGAGAAAATAATTCTTAAGACTGTTTTGAGGAAGGTACATATGTATCAGAATTATTTCTGAATTGTTGAGTTTAAAATCTACCCAGTAGACAGTAAGGAGCTGCGCGCATTTAAATAAGGTGTAATATAATAATTGCCATGTTCTGGCAGCTGTGTGGAAGATGGGGAAAAGTAAACTGGAGGCCTATTGGATGGTGACCACAGTAGTTTAGAGGAGACACCAAACTAAGATGATAACTTAAAAGAAGATGGAAGATTGGGGTAGTTCCAGGTGGAATTATGGATTGTGGACTTGACAACACTATTAAATGCATGTGTGTGTGGTGGGTAGTGGGGGTGAGGATCATTGTGTGGAGTCAGGGTGGGGAGCAGTTAGGAGAAGAAAGAGGAAGAGCCCCAGAAAGAACCTGATATTCTAAGGTAGGCATCTGGTTGGATAGTCATATAATTAACCGATATATAAAAAACAAGAGGCGGAAGAGCAGGTTAGGGGAGGAAGCTAATGAATGTAGTTTTGGATATGTTGGGCTTTGTTAGTAGTTAAAGATATAGCAGTGAAGGAGGTAACTCAGGAAAGGCTGTAGTCACAAAGATGGGAGACTTTGGCGGGAACAACAAAGTGAAAATGGAAAGAGGAAGAACATACTAATGAAATTGATGTGTCCGGAGAGATGGAGGAGAAAAGCAAGAGAAAGTGAAATAATGGGTGACTTGGAAGACTATTTCCTAGAAGCAAGAATTGATGGTGGTGTCCAGCCAGTGTGGCTCAGTGGTTGAGCATTGACCCATGAACCAGGAGTCAGGGTTTGATTCCCAGTCAGGGCACATGCCCAGGTTGTGGGCTCGATCCCCAGTGTGGGGCATGTCGGAGGCAGCTGATTGATCACTGATTCTGATAATTGATGTCTCTCCCTCTCCTCCCTTCCTTTCTGAAATCAATAAAAAATGTATTAAAAAAAGGAATAGTTGGTGATGTCTGATGGGATGAGGACTGTAAATGGATCTGGTAGGTAAGAGATAAGTTTGGAAAGGGTTGATTGAGTAAGTGTTAGAGCTGGAAATGCCCTGAGTCTTTGGAATGGGGACGTGGAAGAAGGAGGTATGCAGTCTCTTTTGGTGAAGGAGGTTAGTCCAGTGCCAGATCAGAGCCATAATTTGAAGGCTCACCTTAGACCTTGGAAAAAAAGACACTCAAATGCCGTTTGTACAGAAATCCAAGATTATTTATTTCCCCTGGTATTTCTGACTTTATAGCCTGAATCTACTTTTAGTGTTGAATTTTATCAACTTAAATAGGCTTCCCTTAAGTAAACATTTATCTAGTTGGAAAAGTTGAGGAGACTGTCTTGTTATTTTATAAGATTAACCCTGTTTTTCATTATTTCCCATCTGTGGTGATATGTGAGAATCTTAATTCACTAGATTTCATAAAAATAAATCTTTTTACTACTACTCCAGATCATCATGTTTTTGTTTAAAAACCACAGTTTTCAGTATATAGTTCGGTTTAAATTATACCTGATTTGAAGGAAATTATTTTCATTTTTAAGTGCTGATATGTTAATAACTAACTATATTTTACTGTTCTTGGCATAGACTACTTAAACTACTAGGGATAGTAGTTTGTCAGCCATGAAGAATCTAGATTTCCTCCAATAATTTATATTCATGGTTCCCTCCAGTTCAAAAAGTAATTCTCCATTATCTTCTGAAGCATGGATCCTTTGTAAGATACTTATGTGACATGCATCATGCAGAGAAAAACATGGGAGTAGAAATCCTAAGTGAAATCATTGCTGAAGAGTTTATGCTTGGCTATAATTATAGCTATGTTCCCCTGTAAGAAGTCTCAGGGGTAACCTAATTTAATAACCTTGAACTCCACAGAGCTGCTGGAAGGATTGCCATGAGGAGGCCATGCAGGTGGGGCTCTGGGGCCCCTAACCTGAAACTATAACCACCCTTTAGTTTTAATTCTTGCTATATATTACTTTTGGAGGGACATGGTATGCATCAAGATTTCGCTTGTGCATTTTTATAGGGTTTTAAAAAAGAAAAAGTTGAAAATCAATGTATTTGTGAGTGAGAAGGCTCTGTCAGGCTCAGTGACATGCCTGAGTCACCTGATTATAGACAGAATGGACTGCAGTTGTCCAGGTGGTTCATTCTTCTTCTTTGCCTGTGGACAGTGCCAAGGATCCACACACAACAGTCTGCCAGGCTGTAGCCACAGTGAGGCTGTCCTCTGTTAACTTCCAAGGAGGTGGTTATCTGCCCTTTTGTTTAATATGTCCAAGTAGAGGTTTATTTCCAAGGTAAGAGCAGCCCTTTGTAGACAATACTTCTGGTCTAATATAATTGGGAGACTCTCCCGTCCATGGCTTAAACTTGTTTGCTTTTATCCTGTATTTGCCAGAAAACATTCACTTGCTGTCTCCCACAAAGTGTTCTTCATGTACTTTGAGATTATCTATTAAATCTCCATCCTGTCTTTTATTCTTAATGATAAAAAACTCAGTTTCTTATATATCTAACCTATCATTTTCCTCTCTGCCCTTAATATAGCAGTAGATTCTGCATTTTAATTGGGTTTAAGTTGGAATTTGGGAGGGTAAGAGTAGTGAAGATGACCAATTATTTTTTGTTGAGTCATCTCTAAGTGTGTGGTAGTTTTTGTTAAGGAGTAGAACTAACTAGTAATTTTGTCTATTCATAGCAGAGTATTATTCTGGGGATTGGTGTTAAGGCTGATTATTAATGAGCGTTCTCAGGAGCTGCATCTGAGTTCCCATATTTAAACTGTTTTACAAGCTTTCTGATGAAACCTTTTTATGTTATTAGTTACAAACTTTTTCTTCAAAAATTCCATACCCACTGTTCAAGAATCAGTAATTATTTCTCAAGAGCAAGAGCCATGCCTAATCCATCTTTATTTCCCAGCGAGCTAAGCACTGTGTCATATGCAGAATAAGATGTACAATTAATGAATGTTGAGCAAATGAATAAGTGGATATTGTTATAGCACCTAGCTTTTGTGACCATATTAGATAATATGCTCTCAAATCTTTACTTACTATTTTCCTTCTAATTATTAGATAATGAGAAATTTTCTCAGAATATTGTCACTTGGATTTTAAACCTGTTTTAGAGGTTAAAAAATTTAAGCATAAGGCTTTAGGAATTGCTCAGTAGGGCCTAAGTTTCAGTTTAACTGCCAAATTATAATGTAGAAGTTGTAGGTATTTTTCTGAAAAATAAAGTGGCTTTAAGAATATATATATATATATATATATATATATATATATATATATATATATATAGTAAACTCTTAAGTCTAAATTCTTTGATTATGAATCAAAGAACTAACACACTAGTCTGAAAAACTCATTAAACTAAACTTCATATCTGCTGTTTACCCAAAACAAAACATGCAAACGATGAAACATAGTTAAATTTCCACAGGCATAGTATACTGTAAAACTTAAAATGTTTGTGCAACTTAGAATGTGTTGCTGTGCAGTATAATGATGGACACAGAAATAAAATTCTACCTATTGTCCAAGTGGCTATTGAGCTCATGTCACTTCAAGGAAGCTGTGGCCTGCAGCTCAGGGTGTCTCAGTAAGGAGTGACTTGGCTTCTTATTGCTGGTTCCTCAGAGATCACATAGTTCAGCATCTTGCAGCTTCTTCATGTGGCAGTGGGGCAAGCAAAAATGCCTTGCTAAATTTCAAATGCTCTTTAGGGGTGGTACCTGTCCCAGGTAAGCATACTCCTGGTTGCTGAATTATGTGTCTGTGAACCCCTTGAAATGATTCAGCTAAGTTCAGTGTTTGAAGCTTTTTTATAAGCATAGTGACATTTTCAAAATAAATGATTTAAATTTTTTTTTGTATTTTCAAAACTGACATTTTATTGAATTTGACATATAACACTATCTATTTAATGTGTACAACATGTTAATTTGATACATTTATATCTGTATAAATATAGTGCTAATTGGCACCTCTATCATGTTACATAATCACTCTTTCTCTTTAGAGGTTAGGATCATTAAGTTCTATTATCCAACAAGTGTGATGATTTTAATACATGTTGTCTATGTTCACTTTACTGTGCATTACATCTCTAGGGCTTATTAACTACTTTGTGCAATGCGTACTCTTAACAACATCTGTCCTATCTCCCCAACTCCATCCCCTGGTAAACACCATTTTCTATTTTTACAAGTTGGGCTTTTTTTACATTTCACATATACATGGTATCATATAGTACTTGTCTTTCTCTGCATGACTTACCTCACTTAGCACCATACATCCATGTTGTTGCAAACGGCAGAATGTTTCTTTTGTCAGGACTTAAGAATGTTCCATTACACACACACACACACACACACTTACACAGACATTTTCTTTCTCAACTGCATTCCTGGGTATAAACAAATAGTCTTTACATTAGACCCAATTATATGGTGAGCAAAAGCATAAACTTAATCAGTGGCCAATTGATATATTGTGAAAAAGAATCTGTTGATATAGATTTCCCCTAATGTAGGAGAAAAATAATAAACGTGGTAATATGTGTATAAATGAAGATTTTATCAAACCCAGGAAGAAAGGATGCAGCTCCCGTTTGATCATGACATAATTGAAGTGTACCTTGCCTGCGGCCTCCCTTCTTTCATGGATAGACTTTCCTCTACGTGGGTGCCAGCGACACCTGATCCCACCGTTTCATGTTTGTTTTCAGGATCAGTTCAGTGATATGAGAATCAGCATAAACCAGACGCCTGGGAACGGCCTTGACTTTGGGTTTACAGTAAAATGGGATATTTCCGGGATCTTCGTAGCATCAGTGGAAGCAGGTAATTCATAGATTTTGCTCTACTGAAATTTCTTCTTCTTCGCTACCTTATGCTGTTCCCCCCACCCCCAGACATCGGTTTATTTGATACAGGAGAACACACATGTGGAAAATGCGGCAGTAAAGCGAGAAGATACATCCTCTTCCCTGAGACTGATAGTTGAGTTACAAACCACATGTTGTTTGTTCTCCTTGCCTAACTAATTTTAGATTTGAAGAGTCTTATTTTTGTGACTTTTACAGAATTCATTTGTCAAAATGTTAGGCTTAATATTTGAAAATGCTAATAGGACCCGATCATCTGTGTATGTGGTAGATCTATCTGTGCTGTGTAATTAAATGGTATTTTCAGAGTGTCCTAATGCAACTATGGCCTATGGAGACCTCAGGATGCTCTGGGGCTTCGGCAAAAGGAATGCCCCTCCCCCACTCAGGACTATGCCAAGTCAAGCCCTACCACAGGGCCTAAAATTAAAGAGAAAACTATGGTATCTAAGAGGAGTTTCTCGTTTGCATATTTTAACTACATAAAATTGCATGCTAAATTGCTTTTTCTTTGAAATTTCAAGACTTCTCCAATGAGATAATGATAAGTAGTAATTTTAATCAGTTTTAAGTGGCCCTGTTTCCTTCTGTTCCAAAATGCATTTGGATTTGGAAGCTCAACTAAAGCGTAGTTTATTTCACATTTAAAAATTTAAAATAATTGAACATTTTCTCTGTTCTGAGGAGGTTAATAAAAAATTTTTTTGAACAGATGATCTTATCATTTGTCCTTTGAATGCTAATGAAGGTGACATATATTATACAATAAAATATGCCCTTGGTGCTTTGTGTATTGCTGATACTCAAATGTTTCATAACTAAGAAATTTTGTAACTCATTTTCACCTAAAAAATAATGAGAAATGGTTATTTGAGGTTAAAGTCATTTATTCTTTAATTTAAATAATCAATGACCATAGGACTTGTTTATTTTTAAATTGGTTGCTTATTTTGCTCGATTTAGGTAGCCCAGCAGAATTTTCTCAGCTACAGGTAGATGATGAAATTATTGCCATCAACAATACCAAGTTTTCATATAAAGACACTAAAGAGTGGGAAGAAGCCATGGCTAATGCTCAAGAAACTGGAAACCTAGTAATGGATATCAGGCGCTATGGAAAGTCTGGTGAGTTGGTTTCTCATTGTGTCTGGCTTTTTAAACTGGGAGCTGGTCTTTGGCAAGTGGTTATAATAGCTTGCTTCAATAACAATTTTTTCTTTTCATTTAAAAATTTTTTTGCTTAAAAGATTTTTTTGGTTATGTTATGACAATCATGACTAATACTTCCTTGAATAGCCTGTCTGAAAACTTTTCACTAGCAAATTTGCTGAATTCTACATTATTTAGTAAAATGTATTTTTAAACATTTGTGACTGACTTTCATATATCAATTGAAGATTATTGTTTTTTGTGTGTGTGTTTTTTAAATTCGTTCAAATATCTCTCTCACTTTTTTTTTTTTAAGGATACTGTAGTTGTATCTGCACTGGGGAGTCATGTAATAATGTTGAGTATTAAGAATTAGACTATGATTGGACTTTTTCTACAGCACCAAAACTGTAACCGGTATAAGAGAAAACTTGGTAGGCCATATTCCTGTGTTCATTCTCAGGAAACCTTCAAAATACATTCCACTATTATATTTCTTAATTAATAGAATTGAAATGAGGATTGCCTTTCATTCTCAAGAAAATTTCACAATACATTCTGTTATTCATTCTCAAATTTTCATTCTCAAACTTTCAAAATACACTTCATTATTGTATTTTTTAGTTACAGAAGTTAGATGGGAATGGACATTAAACCACCCCAGAACCTACTAACTTTTGATATAAAAACATTAATATCCATTCCTGGTTTACAGAAAGATTCAGCAAATTTGCTAGTCTTTTCATTATTAACATGATCTAACCCTTGTGTTTTCGGAAGGTGGTCTCTTGGTAAAATCCTTTTCATTTCTTTCACACACAACCCGATTTGTTTGTCTGTCTTGTGTATGTGAATTTTGTATGTGTGCATTCAGTAACTTTGTTCTTTCCATGTCAACATTTATGTGTACTCATTTCTTGATTTTCACGTGCCAATCAGATTGGGGCAAAGACCAGCCTTCCCTGCCATTTATACGGCATAAAACCCTCAATCTCACCAGTATGGCTACCAAAATTATAGGTTCACCTGAAACAAAGTGGATTGATGCAACTTCTGGAATTTACAACTCAGACAGATCTTCAAATCTATCAATAATGACTGATTTCTCAGAAAGCCTTCAGAATTCTGTAAGTATTTTGAGAAAGAGGAATATTTGTTTTGAGCAAAGAAACTGTAGGAAATGTGTGTTGGGGGAAAAGAATTCATTTTGTTTGGACAATTTTGATGCTACTTTAAAAGACAAATAATTAAATAAGATCATTTATAGTAATGAGGGTAAAATGTATTTTTAAACATCATGAGCATTACTCATTAATAATTAGAGTAATAATGAGTTACATAATGGTAAATTAAAAGATCCCATACTGGTGTTTTGCAGGTGTTTCTTTCCAATCTTTCATCATTATACCCATTTCTCAGATCTTTGTGAATGTGAAGTATTAATTATGTAAAATTATACATTATGGCTTTTCTATGCTTTCTTTGATCTTTATTGGTAAAATAAGTATAGTAATTGTGTGCAATTTAATACCCCATGAAGCATTTTTAATCTTGAGTAAGTGAATTTGGTGGGTAGACTTATATATGTGGTTAAAAGATACTCAGTTACATTGATTAAAATAATTATAATGTAGAAATTTTTCTAAGTATCAGAGGAATACTTAGATTTAAGATTTCAAATAAATGTTTATGTTGACTCCCTAGATATATATTATAGTTATCCTATGATACCCTCTTTTATCTAACAAGGCGGTCTTGCTACATCTTGTGAGACAAGTATAAATGTTAGGGAATCCTATATAACTACGTTGCTTATTCATAAATATAAGCCCAAATGGACTAATCATTATTTGTTTCTTAAAAAATTAATGACTGATTGAATTTAAAGCCATCCATGCTTGCAGCTGGTCATTAATCCTTTCAAAAAATTTTAAAGAATCATGAAAAAATATCTATTACATATAAAAGAATGTGTTAATATCCTCCACAATTCATTTAACTAAAAGATACTTGCATTAATGGGAAATGCATTGTTTAAGCCCCGAGTCCAACTGGAGAGAATGTTGTTAACCGGCATTTTTGTTCTTTCCAGAATACCGAGTCCAAGGAAATCAATGGGATTCGTGATGAAAGCAGTACTTTTGAGTTAAAAGGTAGACATCACCATTATAACTCACATGTATAGTGTAAGAAAAGTCATAGCACCGCAGTTGTGTTACTATAAACATTAATACCTGTGAGTGAAAGAAAAACTGATCCCCTGCAAGTTGAAACTAAAAGGTTAGCACCCAGATCGGATGGCAGCCATGTGGAAGGGCGCGGGGCTGCCCTGTAGAATGGTGCAGGCTCTGCAAACAAAGCATTGGCAGCATGACCAGGAGCTTTGAGAGCCTGTGTGCCTGAGCCAACGAAGAAAGACTGGTTTTGCCCAGGCCATGGGCCTTCTTGCTGTGGAATGCTGCCAAAGGGAATCTTGGTTAAACACAAAACGATGAATGAGGTTTCCTTCCTCCCTTTAGTGTTGTGAAAGGGACAAGCTTGGAGGCGGCTAGTATTAATAGGGAAGTGCCCAGGGCAATGACAGTTGTTAGCAAAAGTACTCATTTGTAATGAAAAAGCAGGCATAGTATGGAGAATAATTTTGCTTTATGGAGTTATCATTCTCTTCCTCCTTCTATTGGCCTATAAATAATTTAGCTACCACACGTTTCCATAGGCATACAAAAGAAATAGGCCGGGGAAAGCGACCCACAGAAGATGAAATTTCTTTTAACGTGATACTAGACTGCCAGGACTCCGGCTGGGCTTTCACAGCAGGCTGGTGGTTTTGAATCTGCATTTGCCAGTCCATAGTCCAATGTCAAAGCCAAACTAAGTTTATACATTTTCCTCTCTTGATTATTTACCTTTGTGTTTAGTTTCTGACCATCAGAAGTGACTATGTTTTATTTGATATTGCATTCTTTATCAAAGGAGTTTTTAAAGAATGGCTTATTTTTTTTTCTTCATGATCTTAAATATAAGACATCCGGGTCCTGTTCTGCCAGTGACTCAGGCCAAGAAAACTGATAAGACACTTAACTCCTTAGTGACTGTGGCACCACAGGCCTGTCATTTCAGCTTTTTCTTTAGATAACTACACGACAATGAACATCAAGCAATAATTTCATTTATATTTTATGAATAAATGGAAGTATAATAATCATTTGCCATAATATCGCGACAGACCCATAGAAGTCAGAATTTTTTCTTTTTCTTTTTTATTTGACAGGACTCCATTTGTTTTACTTAAAGTTGGTGGCTGAAAGATCTTGAAAATGAGAACAAAGTATTCTAGTTAGAAGAATGTTTTAGGTTTAGCATTTGCTTTTATTTTCTCTTTCTCTGGTTATTATTTATTTTCTTGTCCTCTTCCTTGTTATTCTTTAGTTTCTGTTTTACTCAGCTATATTGTGAAAACTCTTCATTACAATTTTCCTTGTACTAGAAGATATTTTTTTTATTGACCTTAGCAAAAATATTTAATTTCCATTTTCCTAAAGCTGTTTTGACTTTTGTGAAACTAGACTGCTTATCTGCTAAAATTTATTAATCAAAATATTAGTTCCTTTTACTAATTTGAATATAGCATAGACTACTAAAACTACGTGTGTCTCTGTGCATTGAAATAATACATATCTTCTATGGCTATCAGTTTTGTCGTTTTTATTATCAAAATAATAATATTGCTATAGATGAGAAAGATATATAGCAAGTATCATTTAGTTTTCCAGTGGTGAGAAATTAAAATGAATGACATCTTATTGATTTTTCTTTGTATTTTTCAACTAGCATCTGAACCTATTTCTTTGAAAAACTTAAAAAGGCGATCACAATTTTTTGAACAAGGTAAACCACCAAGCTAACAATTCATGCATTTTCATGGAATTGTTCCCACCCTCCACCTTTCCTGCTGGTCTGTGGTGCTGGGCACTGCGCCTCTTCGGTTTGGCTGTCATCATGACCAACGACATAACCCATTTCTATTCTTTCCCTAGGGTCATCAGGCTTTTCTTACAGCTCATGGGTCTACCTTTGTGGTAATGGGTCTTTGCGTGTCCTTTGCACCTCTGAAGTTTCTTTTTTCTTTTGAATTAAAAAATTGAGATGCTATTAAACACACACTCCTCCCCCATCTCCCCACTGGGTGACAGTAAGAAATGAAGCATCTCATTTAAGCCTTAATTCTTCCTACAAATTGCATATTCTTAGATTACACCAACATATCATTGGCTAACTTTCTAAAGACCTCTGCTTTTTGGTTCTGGAGAATGTTCCCAATAAAAAAGCAGAGTTGTCTATCATTATTGGGATGGTGGCTTTGGAGTATTAATAGCACTGCTCTGATGACTTGGAAGTAAATTAAAAGTAAATAAATTTTGGTGACATTGGTGAACAAGTGAATTTTGAGGTCCTCTGTGTTGGTGTAGTTGGGCAGTGCTCCCTTACGATGTGCTATGCATGTGGCATTTTCTTCCCTCTCACGTTTGCCTGATGCTCTGTCTCATGAATGCAGTTCGAGCTCTGTGTTTCGCTGTCAAGAACTTAAAAGTAAAATCCAAACATTTGAGATGCAATGGCTCGGTCAGTGGGGAGTGTGTGCTGTTGGTGTCTAAAATGTTATGGTTTCTTACTTTTAAGATTATCAAACATTCACAAACTTACCTTGTAACACGATGTTTACTGGATTTTCATATTTTGTCAATTTCCTAGTAGTCTCCCTTTGTTGAATTACGGTCTTTTGACCACACATAGAAATAGTTCATCAGCTATGCATGTGTAAGGTTTATTTGTGTTAGTATCCTTAGTGGTTTTGATATATTTTTGTTAAACTTCTGTTTTTCCCTGGTAGTTTAGTTGATGCAGTATGATACTTCTAGCTTAGATTAACTAAAATAAAGCAATTACTTTTCTTCTGTCTTCTAATTTTTACTTACTTTTCTTCAGCAGGCTATTTAAGTGAAGAATATTTTCCTAAGTCTCAAAACAGTTTTCTTAAAAATATAATTGTATAAGTGAATAACTTATTTGACAGCTAAGGTTTCAGGAAAATTTAAAAATACTATATGACACATATTTTATGAAATTTGCTTACTTGTTTGTATTCATTGTACTACAGACACGCGCTTATATAGATGCCCCTAAGACTAAATAGAATAACACTGTCAAAAAGTAAAACAATAACACTATGCCATACATATGAAGTTTGAATATTTATGTTTCAAATAACAGTAGAAGGAAAGGAAAGGTTTCTTGCACATGTGTGATGTGATTGCTTATTTAAGAAAAATAGCTTAGAGTTCTCACGTAGTAATTGAATAGTGGCAAATATAAATTAGATTTGGTAGATGTTGTAATATTTGAAATTATTTTTTTTAAATATGCCAAACTATGAAATAGTATCCCAGTCTATTAATAAACTTACCCTCTAACTTATTCAGAAATACACCATTGATCCAGCGCTATTATCTAGAACTTGGATGTATTATACTCTTAGCACCTATAGTTGACCTTTCTTCTTGCCTTTTTCTCTTAAACTGACTTTGAATTTGGAAGATGAATAACAAACAGATGGCATTTAAGAGGGGAAAAAAGAATTTACTCCTGTTGTTAAAAAAAAATGATGTCACTTAGTATACTGGCATAGAAATAGCTAGAGACACAACTCTCTGAATGGAATTATTTCATAGAAATGAGAAGTCTTATACTGTGTTTTTTTCTTCCTTACTTGCATGCTGCCATACAGGAAGCTCCGATTCTGTGGTTCCTGATGTAAGTAGCATTCACTTGTTATAGGAATAAATAAGGTGACCCAGTCTCTTCAAATTGAAAAGACCTATTTTGAAATATAAAGCCAGCTGTCCTTTGGTACAGCTTAGACACAGGGTGATACGAATAATTTATGTATGCAAATATGCTTCCATAGGTGACTTAATGAAGTAACATATTCTTTGTTTGCATCTCTTCTCTCATAACTGGATAGCTTCCAGTTCCAACTATCAGTGCCCCAAGCCGCTGGGCGTGGGATCAAGAGGAGGAGCGAAAGCGGCAGGAGAGGTGGCAGAAGGAGCAGGACCGCCTGCTGCAGGTAGAGCAGAATAACATGGAGCAACAGGAAGCAGGCCTGTTGTTACCCTAAATGCCACTAGTATTGAGAAGCAAATGAAAACAGAAATTTGCCCAGCCTTTGTGGCTCAGTGATTGAGTGTCGACCTATGAATCAGGAGGTCATGGTTTGGTTCCTGGTTAGGGCATATGCCAGGGTTATGGGCTAGATCCCCAGAGGGGCAGGGGATGTGCAGGAGGCAACCAATCAATGATTCTCTCTCATCATTGATGTTTCTCTCTCTACCCCTCTCTCTTGCTCTCTGAAATCAATAAAAATATATTTAAAAAAAAAAATTTAAAAAGTCAGTAACCTGATAATGAACAAATACTTTGATAGAGAGTGCATTTTGCATTAACATGCAATTATTATTTTTTTGCATTAAAATAATTTTCTATTAAAACGCAAAGACAGTTACCTTTCATTTTGAAGCTTTCCAGAATCCTCCTTTTAAAATAATTTATTAACCCTTGTGTTTATTTTTTAGAAAATATGAAGCACTCTAGTTTGGATTTTTTTTCTTTCTATGTAATATTTTTTAAATTTTTATTTGGGTGATACTGGTCAATAACATTTTATAATTTTTATGTGTACAGTTCCATAATACATCATCTGTATATTCCATTGTGCACTCACCACCCAAAGTCTGTTCTCCTTCCATCACCATATACTTGGCCTCCTTTATTCTCTTCCTCCTCTCCCCATCCCTTTCCTCTCTGTTAACCACCATGTCTGTGTCTATGAGCTTATTTGTATCTCTTGTTTGTTTGTTTTTATATCCCACATATGGGTGAAACCATATGGTTCTTGTCCTTGTCTTTCTGACTTATTTCATTTAGTATAATAATCTTAAGATCCATCCATACAGTTGCAAATGATAATATTCTATCCTTTCTTATAGCTGAGTAGTACTCAAGTAAATATATGTTCATATCTTCTTTATCAAGTCATCCATCACAGGAAACTGAGGTTGTTTCCATGTTTTGGCCATAATGTATTAATGGTGCAGTGAATATAAGATTTTTGTATGAGTGAGAGGCTTTGTGAGGACTTACTGCCGGTTTATTGCAGAGAAATTCAGTCCCTCTTACAGTTAGCTTTAGGGGCTTTAATGAATTACAACCATGGTAAAGGGTGCATTTGGGTACAATTCTGAATGTCTACCCTTTCCCAGCACCTGTATTTTACTTCAATATAGGGTCTTTTCTATTTTGAGGACTAAAATTTGATTGGTTAAAATAAATATCTCTGTCTTTGAAGATTGAGGTGAAAGGTGGGGCTAGCAAAACTGCTAATGAAAAAGATTAACATCAGCCTATTAATTAGCTATTAATCAATATGCTATAATTTTTTGTAGGAAAAATACCAACGTGAGCAGGAGAAACTAAGGGAAGAGTGGCAAAGAGCTCAGCAGGAGGCTGAGAGAGAGAATTACAAGCTCTTGAATGAGGTAGTGTTGGAACACGTTCTTCCTTCTCTGTCTTGATGAAATCTGCTGAAAAATGGAAGACTGTGCATTTCACTTGGCTTTTGCCACATACTTGCCAACATAGCTCTTTGAAAAATATAATGAGCTCTGATTTATCAGAACTTTGCTTTGATGTTTCAACATTTCTCCTAGTTTCTCTACTGAATAATTAAATTATTTTATCTACAGACTCTTAGTGTATCTTCCTCTTCTAAGTTACATCTCCATCACTCATGTGTGGCTTTGTTAGTGATAAAATTTAACATCATTTCAATAGAATTCTGGGCCAACTACAATAAATATTAAAAACAATATAGAAATACCTTAATCAAATTCCTCCCCTTACCCTCCGGTTGTGCAGGAGCTGATGGTCCTGAACTCAAACATCGCAGCTCTGACCACACGGGAGCCCTCTGTTGCCACCTTGGAAGCCACCTGGGATGAAGGGTCCAAGTCTTCTGACAGGGAAGGAACCCGAGCAGGAGAAGAGGAGAGGAGACAGAGGCATGAGGAAGGTATAACTGAGGACCAAAGGAAGAAGCTTCAGGAACAACTCACTATTGAGAAAGAGAGGGAACTGAAGGAGCAACAATATCAGGAAGAGCAGGAGGAGATGCAGCGTCAGGCCAAGGCTGAGGAGCAGAAGAAGCGCTATGCAGAAGAACAGATGCGCCAGGCAGAGGAGCAGAAGCGCCAGGCGGAGGAGCAGCAGCGCCAGGCAGAGGAGCAGAGGCGCCAGGCGGAGGAGAAGAAGCGTCACACAGAAGAACAGAAGCACCAGGCAGAGAGAGAGAAGGAAACGATAGTCAGAATATACCAGTATAGAAGGTCTGTTCCCTTGCCAATGGGTACATGTGGTTTTTAATTGGCTTGCCTTAGCTGTATCCATTCCTCTCTTTGAAGGTACCTAATAGGTTTTCCTGCTCCCTACCATCCGTTCTCTATACAAAGGAACACAAGCAGCCAGAGAGAACCCATCCCATTGTAAATACGAGCCTGTCACCTTACTTTCCTGCTCAGAGTCTCCAAGTGGCTTCCCCCACATTTAGAATGTCACCTGAACTCCGCCCAGGGCCTTAGAAGGCTTGTATGAAGTGGCTTGGCCCTTTGGTCTACCTACCTTCCTCTGACTTCCCCTCACTGGGTGTGTTATAGCTGCACTATCACCACTTTCCTATCTTGAACATGCACAACATATTCTGCCCTTGGATTTGTGCATTTTCTAGTTCCTGTGCCCGGAGAAGTGCTCCCTCACATGTTTGTTGTCTTACTCATCTTGTTTAAGTCTCTGATCCAGTGTCACCTTCTCAAAGTTTCCAAAATGCCTCATCCAAAAAAACATGGCTCATCCTATTCCTTTTCTCCATGTGCCCTTCTCTGCTTTATGGTATGCACTCATTTGCTTGTAATTGGCCTGCATTCCCCTCTAAAATGTAAGCATTAGGAGGCCAATACATTTGTTTTGTTTCCTTAGAGCCCTACTGGGTCGTAGAAGGCACATAGCATGTATTTGTGGAATGAATTGCAAATGTCTGTTGGTAGTTGTAGGTCTGTTTTCTTCAGTGATTGATTGAAATTCTCCTATGTGCTTAGTTTTCAACCAAGTGACCATTCTCGTACAGGTGCTAGAATAACATAATTTTGTTATCTATTTCTTAAACCCAGGGGAGGCAATCAAAGTTTTATTTTTATCATAAACCTTTTCTGTCTTTCAGGCCTGTTGATTCCTATGATACACTGAAGGGAGAGGAAGAATCTTCAGGTTTGCTTCCTAGTGACAGGTGTGTAGAACATTTCATCGTAATTTGGTAGGAGTAATTGACTTCATTTGAATTTCTGAGGGCTTGCGTAGGTGTTTTTGTAGAACTACTATAGCTCTCGATCTTTTGTGGGATGCAAAGAGCACTTGCTGGTTGATATGTAAAACTACCCCTCAGCTTCATAACTTCATTTATGATTTTGTGGGTCAGCTTTTTGGGCTGAACTCAGTTGACAGCTCTTTTAGTTACTTGCACTCATCACGCGTCTACTACCAGTTTACTAGGTAGACTTTTGGGGAGTTGGCTGATAATCAGCTGGAGCAATGAGACCAACTGGATTGTGTGCTTTTCAACATGCAGCAACACAGTGCAGCCTTGCGTACATGGTGTCTGGGAAGAGCCAAGAGAGATAATTAAAGAGAGGAAGCATGCCGGGCACCTCGCAGGCTCAGTTCTGACCTGGCACACCACTGCTTCTGCCACATTCTACTATTCCAAGTGAAGTCACTGGGCCAACCCAAGTTCACAGAGAGGAACAGAACTGTACCTCTTATGGGAGGGGCCAAAATGCATGGGGAAGAGGCACAGGGGGAGAAATGTGCTCATTTTTTGCAACCTGCCTTAACATCTTTTTGAAAAGCAATTATAAGCCATGGCATAGGCTTGCCCAAAATAAAGTTACATGTGGACATCTGAAATGAGAAATGTGGCCCCTCTCTTAATTTGGTTATAAGTACTGGTCAGTTTTGAGGGAATACAGATAGGATTTCAGATATCCGAAAAGTAGTTCTTCAAAATTTCCTAAAACATTAAATTTCATGTTGTTAAATAATTTTTAAAATGACTTGCACTTTTGAAATCATAACACAGAATAAAAATATCCAGTGTATGACATTAATTTGTGTTTTCAGAGCTAAATTTTCTTTAGGAAGTTTGCCTTCTAGATAAGGAAAGACTCCTCTGTATAGGCAGTTAGGAGACTGACTAACGCTCAAGGTATTAAATAGATAGGAAAAGAAAAGAACTATCCAGGTAATGGTGGGCTGATATTCAGCTAGGAAAAAGTTCTAGTGGTGAATGACCTGACTTATAACAGTGGTTCTGGGTACCTGTAGATTAGGGGTGTCGAACTCAATCAGAGAAGGGGCCAAAATCTAAAATCCAGCCTAAATCGCGGGCCGAATGGTTTACTGAACAGTCATAAACTGTCATTGTGATGGAAACGCAGCGGAGTGCAGGGATGACAGCGTGGTGCGGGCCACATTGCAAGGCCTGGCGGGATGGATTTGGCCCGAGGGCCTTGTGTTTGACACATGTGCTGTAGATGATTAGAATATGTATATCTCTTTTCTAAAGCTATGGATTTCTTTGTATATTTAAGTAAGCTTTAATTATATAGCTCATTACCTGGAGAAAGTAATTAGACTGCAGAGATAGGAAACTTAAGGAATCCTCAAAAATATGAAATACTTAGGCATTTGTGATGTAGCATGCCCTCAAGGAATTAAGGAGTGTGTCATAAAGGTATTTTTTTCTATGTTAATACAAATGAAACTACTCATGAATGTTCTAACAGTCATATTACATTATTATATACAAAAAGTTATGTGTGGGGGGTATATCTCAGCCCAGCCTGCACCCTCTCCAATCTGGGACCCCTCGGGGGATATCTGACTACCAGTTCAGGCCCAATCCCTGTGGGCAGTATGAAGCAAGTAGGACCATCTGATGTTAAGTACCCTGATGACAAAAGCTTTGTACATCCCAGTAAGACTGGGATCTGAAAGAGAGTTGAAGCTCATAATTGGATTAAATCATAAGCTTAGTCATTGTACAAGATGGAGGAGATTTTCACATGATCATTTATTTCTAGCATCAAGCTCTTCTCTCCCCTAGAGATATTACTATTTCCTGCTAGTTGGTGCAACATGAAAAATTCTTTGACATAAAAAAGTTATATTTCTGGTTCTTCATAGATATGAAAAGGATGTTCTTAATGAGATATGTGTAATATACTGTGTTCTGTGTCCTAGGAATAAATCCAGATCCACTACTGAGCTGGATGATTTCTCCACAAATAAAAATGGTAAATGTGAAGTTTTTTCAAAATTGTTTATTTATGGTATCACATGCTATGATCACTATTTTTAAGGTCAAGATATTTCCGGTTCATTAAGATTACATAGTTAAAATACCTAATATTTTTAGCATTTGTGTTAAAAAACAAAACTATCTTTTGCTTATTTTGGCCTAACTTTATAATGGGGCGAGTACTGGGACCTTAAAATGGTTTTAAATAGCTAATGAAATATGTGGGAATTTGGCCAAGTGCTGCTGATAGAGTTTTGTATAGTAGATCTCATCTTGCAGCTAAAGGAATGGGACAGAAAGTTTTCTGCAGAATACCAGGGGACTCAAAAATTGTATATAAAGTAGAAATTGTACACTTAGATGTCAGACAATCCAAAATGTTAATGATTTCACTAACTTGGCAAAAACAATTTGGAACTTGATATTGTTAGTATAAAGTGCCTTTCTAGGTACACATGTAGCTGATGTTATACAACTAAGAAAAAGGCATCATTTTATGCAAGGTTTGCATACTAGGCTTTGTGGAAGCAGGGTTTTGGTCAGTTATGTAAACGAATGGAGATCCGGGTGAGGGTTGAGGTGAACTTGGTGAATATGAACACACCCAACTAAGTGGACAGCCACTCCTACCCAGCTCCAGCCTTTTGTTACTGCCAAGTGGGAGAATGCAAGCCTGTGATTACTGACCATTTCTATTGCAAGAAGAGTAAAACAAACAAAATCTGGATTTTTGTGTTATATTTTAAGCCCTGACAAGGAATTTAAAAATGTAAAACCCTCTGTGAGCCATACCACATGTACAGGTCTGAATGGTCTGGTGGAAGCCAGTTTGTCACTTCTTGTTGAAACTTGCAGAATTTACAGTTTTTACTAGGTTCTATCATCTCCCCTTTCCTTTTCATCATCTGGTCCTAGTTTATCTTTCCAGCCTCTTTTGCTGTTTTCTCCATTAGGAACACTTAACTATAACCAAAGTGTTCTCTCTCTCAGTTTCCAACTTACCAGATGCTTTCTGGTTCTTCTGGTCTCACTTATTTGGGTTTCTGGTTTCTTCTCCCCAGAATTTGCCACTAACCACCCTGAAAATGAAGGTTTAAGTACTTCTGTCTGCCATGAAACATTTTTAACCTGCATTGATAATATTCTCTTCTGAAATTAAACACATGATCTGTTAGTTACAGCAAGTGTGATTATCTGAAATTGTCTTGTTAGTATCTGTGGCTGGTGTTATTAACCTGATTATCCTGGCATGCATGTCTTCTCCCCTAAACTAAATGAATCGAGGGCAGTGGAAGTTATCAAATATTTTACTAAAAAACTTGGTTATGCCAATAAGGTACTTTTAAAATAGAAAACATTTCATTTCAAATCTGACAGAAATAAAAACATAGATGTCCATAAGGAACCTTTGGTGGCCTTATTCATGGCTTCAAGATGATCTAAGGCAAAGGCCCATCATGATTTTTGAAAGAATGACAATAGCAGTGAATCTGGGAAGTAAAAGAAAATACATCACTAGGTGAAATTTCCTAATCCAAATCAAGGTGGGGAGGATTTTAAAGTTATGGATGTTCTAACCAAACCAGAAATTAACTAGCAAATCCAATGAGACAAAGCCTTCAGGATAAAACCTGACTTAATTTTCATTCATAAATTTGACTTGTTGTAGCTTTGTCAGTTTCTTAGAAGAGAAACAAGTCTCATGACATCCCTTGGTTATCCTTTGGCGACTTGGCTGTTTTTCAGTTTCACAAAAGCCAGTGTAGTGATTGAATATGCTCTTTTTCCTGCAATTTGGTCATGACTTAAAGTCATAGACTTATACCGTGGAGGCTCTAGTCATGCATCTACAGATGTAAGCATCTATGTCTTCACTCTCTCCCCAGGGGAGGTGTAAGTTTTTTGAGAGAACTCCCAGCTCCCTGTGGAGTTGTCCCAGCAAGCATTCAGTGAACATGAGCTCGATTGACTTAATTTAGTAAGAAAGGGAAAAGTGGACGAGAAACTGCTTCTGAATGAGCACATAGACACTTCCTATTGCTGAAATCATTGTGCTTGTCTCCTTTTCAGGCAGCCTCCTTAGTTTTCCTGAGTGTGCTCTGTGATGTGCCTCTGGGTGTGGAATTAGAATTTCCAAGATAGGTTCCCAGGCAGCAGCCTCATTGAGAATCGATAAAGTTAGCATATGTGCACAATGGCACATTTTTTGCTACACTCTATTTGGAGATGCATCCACTCTCCTTTTTCAATGTGCTAACCCTGCAGCTTTGGATGTGTTTTTAATTTAGGAAGCCATAAATATTTAGACCGAGTTGGGAACGGGAGCTCATCACAGAGGAGCGCCAAGAAGGAACAAGGTTTATCAGGAGCAGAGTTGGAGAGGCAACAGATCCTTCAAGAAATGAGGAAGAGGACATCCCTTCACACCGACAGCAGCTGGATCCGTCAGCGCAGTTCCAGCATCAATAAAGAGCCCATTTGTCTGCCTGGGATTATGAGAAGGTGAGACATTTTAGGCATTACTTTATCTTCTGTGCTGTGAGACAAATATTTAATTTCTAAACATGCTGCCTACTTTGGGTGAAGAGATGTCATAATTTCTTCTCTTAATCCAAGATTTAGTGGGAGAGAGGGAAGTAAAGCAAATGTCATTGGGCACTCATTAGGTGCCAGGCCCATTCCAGCTGCTTTGTCTGGGGGAAATGTTTTGAGGTAGGGATAAACTTTCTGTTTTCCTCATAAGGAGACTGTGGCTCAAGCAGGGAATGTATATGGACTAAACCAAATGACTAACAGGTTTCAAAGCTGGATGTAAAAGTCTGCAGTGTGATATGGGCACTTACGTAATTCATGCAGTTCTTGGTGCTTCCTTGGATGCTAGACTTAAAACAAAATTAAGCTTCTGTTTATTTGTTTATAATCTTAATTCCAATTAAGATTGGAATCTTAATTGTGTTCACAAACTGAAAACTCAATTATTTTAACTTTCTGAAAAAATATATAGATATAAATTAATTGGAGATGAGAGGATGAACATTTTAAAAGATGTATTTTGTGTAAATGAATACTAAGGCTACTTTCATTCATTATTTCCAAGAAGATTACTTGCAACACATTACAGACAAAGGGCTAATTATCTTTTTTTTTTTTTTTTTGCAGGCTTAAATCATCACTTTATTTTTCTAAAGGGCTAATTATCTTAATGTACAACTAACTTTTATAAATCAGTAGAAAAACCGTGCCTTTATAGAAACAGATAATTGATAAGAATAGATAGTTCATAGAAATAAAGTCTTTATACATAGAAAAGATCAACATACACTGAGTGGCCAGATTATTATGATCTCTGAATGCATAATAATCAGGCCACTCAGTATATATCCTATATAATCCTATATAATAAAAGGCTAATATGCAAATTGTCCTCTTGACCAGGAATTCAACCAGCAGGCAACTGCCCATGTCCCTTCCCCCTGACCAGGCTGGACAGACCCCACCTAGGCACAAATTCATGCACTGGTCCTCTAATACACCCACACCCACACACACACACACACACACACACACATATATAAAAACACACACACACACACACACACACACACACACCGAGTGGCCAGATTATTATGCATTAAGTGTTCATAATAATCTGGCCACTCATTCTATATAGGATTTGTAGAGAGTTAAAATGAGTGTATAAGTCTATATTGATGAATATATAAAGAAATAAGAATTCTTCCTGATTGGTTGGATGAAACACTGAGCAGAAGTATTTGCTTGTGCCCTGCAAGCACTTTAGTTTCTGGCACATTATCTTCTGGATATGTTTGGTTAAGTATGCAAAGATACATCAAAGAATATATACATTATTATTATTATTATTATTATTATTATTTTATTGATTGGGGGAAGAGAGATTGAGAGAGAGAAAGGGAGAGAGAGATATTTGTTGTTCAGGCATGCATTCACTGGTTGGTTCTTGTGTGTACCCTGGACTGGGGATTGAACCTGCAATCTTGGCTCATTGAGGTGACACTCTAACCAACTGAGCTACCTATCCAGGGCCTGTACTTAAATATTATTAAATATACAATTAAAAAACAACAACAGTGTCCCTAGTTCTCATTAAATAAATGGCGGCTCACAGATTAGGTAGAATATGATACAACTATTAAAGAATTGAAAGCGGCATATTGCTGCTCAAAACTTTGTGGGTTTGCCGAAACTGGTTTGACTTAGTGGATAGAGCATCGGTCTGTGGACGGAAAGGTCCCAGGTTTGATTCAGGTCAAGGGCATGTACATGGGTTGCAGGTACATCCCCAGTAGGGGGTGAACAGGAGGCAGCTGGTCGATGTTTCTCTCTCATCAATGTTTTAGCTCCCTCTCCCTCTCCCTTCCTCTCTGTAAAAAATCAATAAAATATATTAAACACACACACATACACACACACACACACAAACAAAAAAAAACACACAAAAAAAAACAAAAAAACTTTATGGGTTAAAATAATGATTCACATCAAACAGTTCTGAGGATCGACTGGGCACTTCTTTACATGGTGTTGATCAGGGCACCTGGACAGCTGTAGTCATTCAGAGCCGGGCTGGCAAATTATTTTGTATGAAGACAGATAGTAAATAATTTACTTTGTAGGCCTCATAAGTCTCTGCCAGATTTTCCTTATTCTGGCTGTTTTATGACTGAAAAATGAAATATAACTCAGTATTTTTTGTGACAGTGTTTAGTCTAATACCTGACATATGTAGATGTTTAAAAGATGTGTGGTTTCATTTATTTAGGGTCTAAAAAAATGAAGATTGGTATTATCTAAACAGTTAAAGATTTAAAGGGTAAATATATGTGGTCTTTGAGTATTTTATTAAAAAAATTTTTTTTTTTGTATTTGCCTTTCTACTTTGGTATTTATTCTTTAACGTAAGCACTAAGTAAATAAAAATAGAAATCAATGAAGGTTAACTGAATATGAAATACCAGGATGCCTCTGATGAAAAGAAACTTTAGTTTTAAAAGTAAATTTATATGTAATTGGACTTGTTAGATTAATACCTGCTTGTAAAACATATAAAATTTTAGTGGCTGTAATGTTAAATAATTCTTAGTGGGGCTGTGTTATGTAATTGTGACTAATCCTTTTTAAACTGTTTCAGAGGCGAATCTCTAGATAACCTGGAGTCCCCAAGGTCCAGTTCGTGGAGACAGTCCCCGTGGCTCAGTCAGTCCACAGCGGTCTACGCTTCGACCTCCGTCCAAGACTTCAGCCGCCCACCCCCGCAGCTGGTGTCCACGTCCAACCGTGCCTACATGCGGAACCCGTCCTCCAGCGTGTCCCCTCCTGCAGCGGGTTCCGCGAAGACCAGCCCCGCACCATCCCCCACTCCACGCAGCCATTTCCCTTCCGCTCCCCCATCCCAGCCACGCAACAGGTGAGGCCCTCTGGATTTCTCCTTAATTTCGGGGGCAGTTTTTTTTCATTAAAATTCACTCCCAATCTTGTCCCAGCTTCCCAAAGAAAGCCAGGCCTTTTGGAATGTATCAAGTTCAGGGTTCTTTCGTCAGATCAGTTAAAAGGGCTTTCTTCATAGCTTCCTAAGAGCATTTATGGATGTCTCCTGAAGCCACTTGTGACCTTTCAAATACCAGCGTCATTGCTGCTGTCTCATTGGCTGGTGCTGTGGTCAGTGTCTTGGATACAGATGTACCTGAATAGTTCTCAATATGCAGTCATACAAATATACAGTAGCCTATGAATGCATTTAAAATTTATGAACAAATGCAGGCTTGTAAAAGTGTTGACTGTTTTAATGAGAAAATACAAACTCATTTTGTAGGAACTGAGCATAAAAGGAAAGCATTGTAACCAAGTTCCATTGTCTATTGAACTTCTAAGTAGTTAGATACTGGGATTTTTTTGTGTGTTTTTTTTGTTTTGTTTTTGTTCTTGATTTCCAAAACTATTGCCTGCCTCTTACTAGTTTGTCGACATTTTGTTCAGACTACATCATCTGATTCTGTGGATCATATGCTATGAGAACTGTGGAAGAGTTATAACCATAGGTCTTGAATACAAACATGCCTTTTGCTATGGAGGGAAGCTCAGATCTGCATAGTTTCTCCACTGATCAACGAGGCTTCTTGAAGCCACACTCAGCAGTGTTTCTGCTGTTACCCAAAAGTGGTGCTACTGGCACATACTGCTTCTTATGCAAATGAAATACTGAAAAGTAGAAACACAATGCTTGATACTGGGATTTTTTATTTTATTTTTTTTGCCATTAAATAAAGGGATTTTTTTTCTTAAGAGAGTATATTTTAGATCCATCTAGAAATGTTGCTTGTTCCAGGATGTATAAAATGTGTCAGGGAGTTTGAATTGAGAGAAGATGGGGTGAGAATTTATGGTCAGTTATGAAGGAAAATGAATGCCATGTATGGGGGAGACAGTACCCATTTCCTGAGAGGTCTCTCTCCTCTTCCCACCTCTCTCCCCTCTCTGCCCCGCCCCGCCCCCACCCTTGGGAGAACACACGGGAGACAGGCCAGGGCTTTTCTGCCTGAAAAGGCCTGTGTCTGGGAGCTGGTGCTCTGACATGAGGCACTCCACAGCTGTGCCCTTTCAGTGCCACTAAAGTGCGAGGCTAGTACTGTGGCAGCCACAGGTAAGCAGTGGCCTACACCTTCCCACCTTGGAGAGAAGGTGAGACTTGTATCCAAAGGGAGGTACTTATCTGCATGGTAGCTGACAGGCCTTTTCCATTTCATTCTCTGCAGAAGTAGTCAAGCCAGAGGCACAGCAGGAAAGCAGCTCCTTCTGCTTAAATGAAATATTAGGCGAATGCGGAAGAGGATGGGAAACTAAGATCAGGAGGGTAGCTTACAATGCCTTTCAGAAGCTATGAAGCTGCTCTTTGGATGTTCTCATGGGAGAGATGACAGGATTAGAGTTGCGCTTTGGGAGAGGGGAGACTACTGCTGAATACAAATGCATCTGAGGAGGATAGTGTCTCCAAATGCAGGGTAGACTAATTACACCAAAATTGTTCATTCATTGAATAGGCATCAAGGATTTCTCAACCATCACGGAGATCCTTCAAGGCACAGTGTAATCAGGGCACATTTTGATTGGCTGGTGAGACTTTTCCTCCCACAGATGAGACACTTTCCTAAATTGTTAATGGTAGCATGCAAAATGTTAACCGTGAGCCGCACAGATGAAAGCCTCAATCCACTCTTCGTTCTGCATCTAGGTCAGTCAGTGGGAAGCGCATGTGCTCCTACTGCAATAACATTCTGGGCAAAGGAGCTGCCATGATCATCGAGTCCCTGGGTCTTTGTTATCATTTATATTGTTTTAAGGTGAGATGAAGATAAACAGCCGCTGCTGCCCCCGCAAAGCTTTGCTTGGAGAGCGCATGGCTGCTTTGCGCACTGGGTGTGGACGTGCCCTCAGCGGGCGAGGTGCTGCCGTATTTGTCGGTCTGTGCTGCATTTTGAATCTCAGGTTGCTTGCTACTCCGTAGTTCTCAAATCCTGACCCTGGCTTCAAATGTTGTAGAAATGCTTTGCACTTCCCATCGCCAATCTGTTAAGATTCCGTTAGTAAAATTTACAGTGCATAAATGCTTTCTCTGTCAGGCGGCCCTGGGCATGTTTGAAATGTAATTTAATAATGTCATTAACAACAAGGGGATGGGATGTGCAATTATAAAAGTATCTAAAGCCTCGCTTTGACTAGGGAGAGTCTGTAAGGAAGAGCATGGGAAATATTTTTACAATTGCACAGCTGCTTGCACTTGATGGTTGCTTACACATAAGAAAGAACTAAGGCTGTAACAACTTTATTTTGCAGTCACTGTCTTTGGAGACACTCAATTTGAACTTGTGTTGGGCCAAAGAGTGACTCCGGTTGTTGATGCCAGAATCCCACAGACCACAGCTTGTTTAAGCTTGTATATTGCTGGCGTGGGCTGTTTCTAGGGAAAGCAGAATGAATCAAAATTATTAGCGTTGGAGCAATTGGAACCAAGATGACCAGCCTTGAGGTGAAAGCACCCTGTGGGAACACTTGCCAAGCTGGCCCAGTGAGGGCTCTGGGCGAGCCCTACCCCAGAGGGCAGTGCCAGTCTTGCAGTGTTCATTCACTCCCTCGGTTCTTTCATTCCCCGGAGAGAAGAGAAGACTCTTTCTTTAAGCCAGTCAATGAATCACTTTTGCTCTTTTGGTATATTTAGAATGATCATCTTGGCTCTTAAAATTGGCTTTATGAATTCTTTAATGTCTCATCTAGCAGGCTTGATTTTAATCTACTGATTATCTTTTGGCTTTTTTTTTCTTTCTTCTTCTTTTCTGAAACATATTTAAGAGCTTAGAAGCTGCATTTTGCTCAGTTGTTTTTTTCCAGGAGCGCCTCAGCCTTTCTTGAGCTCACAGCTTGTGCATTTTTTTGTGTGTGTTTTGTTTTGTTTGTTCTCCAGTGTGTTGCCTGTGAGTGTGACCTCGGAGGCTCTTCCTCAGGAGCCGAAGTCAGAATCCGAAACAACCAACTGTACTGCAACAACTGCTATCTCCGACTCAAATGTAAGAGAGCAAATCAGGGAGAAAATTTCTAATCTTTTAATGAAAACGCGCATTCCCATGCATTTCCCTGACCCTGCGCCCGTGTCCCCCTCCAACTCCAGGTCTCAGGAATCTTAGTGTGGCCGCCCGTTCCAAGAGGGTATGGTGGGTGGGTCAGAGCTCAGGGGTGCAGCCACACAGGGTGGATGGTAGGGCTAAGGAACCAGAGAGGGGAGTGTGCCCAAGTCAGGATGACGTCCTGTTTCGTCTGGAGAAACTGCTAATGACTGGAGGATCCGAACAAAGTTAAAATGAATATTTGGTGTAGACGGTCATCGATTGTTCTCTCATCACTAGCTGATTTCTATTATTTAACAATGGGCTCTGATTATGCAATTTAGAATATGATCAGTTTTAAAAAAAACTGTGGTTTAAAAGGTCATAAAGCATAGTTTATGCTTCATTATTATGTAATCAGATACCAACATACACATTTTTAAAAGGAGAGCATTACATCTGGTTATATGGCATTTCACTGTTACTTTAGGAAAAGTTGAGTTTTTCAACAACTTCACATCATGTTTTTGTTTCTAAGTGTGCTATGAAACCTAGGGTAGCACCAATAGATGTATTGCTTATAGCTCCATGAAGATAACCATTATTGCCGTGTATATTTTGAACGTTGATGCTGGTAACATGTGTTTCTTCCCATTGTGAAAGGGTGTTACAAGTGGTATCAGCAAATCCCTTTGCTTTTGAACTCAAAGGTATTTATGTGGCCCTTTATGTGAAGAGTGGTTTGGAAATGGTTTCAGCCCACTCAACTCTCTTTTATCTGTCAGCCGGGTCTGAGTCTTCGTACCACGGCAGCCCAGTCCTTCTCTGGATACTGCCACTGAGCTTGGAGAATGTCAAGGCTGGGTGTGCAATGGGGGTGGGGGAGTGTGTATATGTGTGTGTGCTTTTCTCTTTCTAATCAAATTTCAAAGCCAAATAGAATTTATTTTGGGGGAACTCGCCACGGAAAAAGGACCCATGCCTTTTCTCTTCTCCAACACAAATAAAAGAGAGTTGAGTGTGACTTACTTCTGTACCAGCAGTTCAAAGACTTCTAGTACGCAGAGGCTGTGATTGGCCTCGCTTTATCCTCAGTGAGTGGACAAGGTGACTTTCTACCTCATGAGGCCATTCTCTGAGTGATTACTGCTATGCATCCCCAACGGCAATATTCCCGAGTTTCTGAATCTAAGCGCTGTTCTTTCTTCTCTCCCTGCCTGATCAGCTGGACGGCCAACCGCCATGTGATGTAAGCCTCCATACGAAAGCACTGTTGCAGATAGAAGAAGAGTTGGTTGCTGCTGATGTAGATCTATAAATATATGTTGTATGTCTTTCTCTCTCTCTTTTTTTTTAAAGAATAACACTTTTTTTTTTTTTTTTGGCCTCTGTAGATTACATCAGAGCAGGATAGACTTGGTAGAACCTGTATTTTTGTTGTTGTTTATTTATAAGGAGGTAATTATGTGTGGGGGAAAGTGCAGTATTTACTTTCTGAGTTCAGCATCCTAACAGCACAAGGGTAAAAAGATCTTCAAAATATTTTGAGGCTGATAATGATCAGTGGTGTTTTGAAGAGGGTTATTTTATTGTTGTTTTTTTTTTAAAAGGTTATAAAACATTATTTGAAATAGTTAATATAAATATATAATTGCATTTGCTGTTTATTGTAATGTATGCTAAATTAATACAGAACCATATGGAAAATGTCACTAAAATTCACCCCCCACCCCAAATTTGCTTTCTGTATCCTGTTTTTTCAGCTATATATTATGATTTGAAAACAATTAGCTTATATGAAATGTTATTTGCTTGATGAGGGGAGCTCTGTTTTTGTTAGAATTGTCACTATCCAGTTTTCAATAGAAAGCCTCTGCTTCTCATTAATGAAATATCCTTACAGTTTGTATACCGTACCAAAAATTTTCTTGAGGAAGTAGTGAGCCTTTCTGTCCAACTGTATTTGTAAATAAAATTGCTGATGCATTTAAGGAGTGGATCTTTTTTATTTATTTTTCTTGTGTGGTTTTGTGTGTGTCTACGTTCCAAGCACTTTAGTCATATTTCAGTATGTGACTTTTTGTGATATTATGTTTTTATTTACCATCTTCACTGAGGTATAAATTGACATAATAAATTGCACATATAAACTGTACAATATGACAAGTTTGGGCATAAATGTATACCTCTGAAACTATCACCACACTCTTGATATTGTTTTTATAGAAACATTTTTAACAAGGAACTTTATTTTTGATGAGAAGCTGTTTTTGAATGCAGTATGCTTTTATGGTAAGAGGTGAAGTGAATGGTGAATTGTTGGATCATTTGCATAAAATATTTATTCTTTTGCTTCCTCGGTGATAAAAAAAAATAATAAAACAATGACCCCAGCTGTCATGGTTCAGTGGTTGAGCATTGACCTATGAACCAGGAGGTCAGGGTTCAATTGCTGGTCAGGGCACATGCCCAGGTTGCAGGCTCGATCCCCTGTGAAGGGCAGGGCATGCAGGAGGCGGCCAATCCATGATTCTTTCTTCTTATTGATGTTCTCTCTCTCTCTCTCTCCCTCTCTCTTCCTCTATCTCTCTTCCTCTCCGAAAAATAATAAAAATATCTTTAAAAATATATAACAGAGTTGGTGTCGCTGACTACACTCTTCCTTCAGGGACTAGCATGGCTCCCATGACAACATAGCTGTGGCTCCTTCTGGTGTGGGGGCTGAAATATGGGCAGCTAGGCCCAGGACTGAGCTTCTCAATGTCTGCAGGAATGCCAAGCGCCACAAGGAAAAGCCAGGCCGGGAGGACAAACTGCATGAGCAGTGCAGTCCCTGGAAGAACGCCTGCTCCTCTGTCAACACCAGCCAGGAAGCCCCTAAGGAGGTCTCCTACCCGTACAGATTCACCTGGGACCACTGCGGCCCCATGAAACCCGCCTGCAAGCGCCACTTCACCCAGGACACCTGCCTGCATGAGTGCTCCCCCAACCTGGGGCCCTGAATCCAGGAGGTGAACCAGAGTTGGCGCAAAGAGCAGATCCTGAACATGCCCCTGTGCAAAGAAGACTGTGAGGTCTGGTGGGAAGACTGCTGCACCTCCTACACCTGCAAGAGTAACTGGCACAAAGGCTGGAACTGGACCTCAGGGTTTAATGAGTGCCCGGTCAAGGCTGTCTGCCACTGCTTTGATTTCTACTTCCTCACGCCTGCTGCTCTGTGCAATGGAATCGAGTCACTCCTTCAAAGTCAGCAACTACTGCTAAGGCAGTGGCTGCTGCATCCAGATGTGGTTTGACCCGGCACAGGGCAACCCCAGTGAGGAGTGCCCAGGTTCTATGCAGAGGCCATGAATGGAGCTGAGCTCTATGGGGCCTGGCCTCTTCTGCTTGGCCTGGCCCCAATGCTGCTCCTGCTGCTCAGCTGAGCTCCTTTTACCTTCTGATACCTGGTCATCCCCACACAGTTCAGTCCCACAGCAGTGTTCCCATGGTGGGAGCTCTGTCTAATAGTTTAAATAAACTAGTTACCCTGCCCCCCCCAAAAAAAAATTATGTACATATACATATATATATATATATATATATATATATATAGTTTAAAAAATGTGTACAGTAAAAATATTGATATCTCTAATGTTTTGCAATCTGGAGTGGGAATTAAAGAATAAAACACTGAAGCATGCTTTGAGAAAAAATATAAACTTACTTATTTCTATTATAATAATGAGAGAGGAGTAAATTTAGGATATGAGAACTGTATTGGAATAGGTTAAACTATACGTTATGAGCTCTAATGTGGGAGAAAATGAAAAATGTAGTTCATTTTCATTATTATTTTTGATTATTAAAGTAATATATGTGTTAATTGATGAAAATTATCAAATGTCCTAAAACATAATCTAATTCTTAATTCCAAACTCCAAAGATGAGAGTTCTATCTTTGAACTTATTCTGTGAAATTTATCCTGCATTCTTAGTTAAATTCTGTGAATTTTTTAAGTTCTTAAAATCATTTCTCTTTATCTGTATTAATGGTTTCATAGTGCTTCATTATTTGGTGCTATTAATATCTAGTTGACAATTCCTCTACTGTGCACCTCTCACTTGTTTCTAATATATATATATATATATATATATATATATATATATATATATATATATATATATATATCATAGTCATATATTATGTATATAGGTAAATATTTATAATATAAATTCTATAATAGACTTTCTATGATCCCATCTATTTCTTTGTATTCTTTGCATAGATATGAGAGTTTTGGTTCAGAGATTATGCATTTTAAGGCTGTAATGGTACATATTACCAAAGTGGTTTCCCAAAAGCTGATACCAGTTTAGACTCTCACAAGTAGCACATGAGCTTGTCCATCTCACCTCATGTTCACCAAAATAAACTTCCATTGCCTTGACTCTGCTTGGCATATAGTAGCCCTCAATATGCTGTAGTTGAATTAAGAAGCCACTGCTTCAATATTTGTCTCCTTTTTTTTTTTTATTGTTTAAAGTAATACAAATGGTAGTACATATGTCTCCTTTTTCCTCCACTGATTCCCCCTCCACCCTCCCCTCCCCTTTCCTCAGCCCCCCACAATTGCCCTCCCCTCCCCCCAGTGTCTGTGTCCATTGGTGATCATTACATGCATGCATACAAGTGTTTCAGTTGATCCCTTACTCCACCTCCCCAACCCTCCCCTGACTTCCCACTGTAGTTCAATGCTTTTTTGTCTCTATCTATTTTTGTTCATTATATTCCACAAATGAGTTAGATCATGTGATATATATCTTTCTCTGACTGGCTTATTTCACTTAGCATAATGCTCTCCAGTTCCATCCATGCTGTTTGTTGCAAATGGTAAGAATTCCTTCTTTTTTCTTAATTGTGCTTGTTCCTACCTGTAGTGCAAGCTTTAATACTAACCTGATTTTTGTTTGTTTTTTTAATCCAGTATCTTTTCTAATTGTTACTCTTTTTCATCTAAGTTTTTGTCTTTAAATCTTTTCCTGTTGATTTTTCTTCTGTGTGTGTTGACTTTTTCTTCTTGTGGCTCACATTATCTTACTTATGGGTAATAATTTTGTTAGTACAAATTGTTAGAACAACTTCCAGAGATTCTCTTCTAAGACACTGGTTCTGTAGTACCTCTGAATAAACCCATGGGTAGTAGTTACTTTATGTAAGAACAAGGGAAGATAAAGTCACTGGGAATTTTTTATTCAAACTTTACATGCCAGGCACAGTTTTAGGCATCATAGATAGGACAATGAACACATACAAGGTCTGGGCTCTGATTTGGCTTAGATTTCTGGTTGGAGGAGACACCAATAAAGAAAAATAGGAAAATGTAACATGCATATTGTGATAAGGGCATTGAATAAATGATCAGGGTAAAGAGGACCCATGAGTGTGGGAAATGGAAGATTGGCAGTGCTTTTTCAGAGGAGGCCTCTCTCCTATATGAGTGAAAGCCTGAAGGAATGAGGGAGCAAACCTCCCAGATATTTAACGGGGAAATATTTGAGACGTAGGGAACAGCAAGTACAAAAGTCTTGAGGGAGGAGAATATTTGGAGTGTTCAAGAAGCAATCATGAATTTGAAATGGAATGAGAAAGACAGGGTGCCGGAGATATGGGGAGGGGAGAGCACAGAGCAACAGGCCATCAGAGGACTTGGCTCTTCCTCTGAATGGGATAGGGAGACATTGGAGGGTTGAGAGGAGTAAAATGAACTGATTTATGTTATAAAAGAGCTACAAGGTTAGTGCATAGAAATCTCTCTCTCTCTCTCTCTCTCTCTCTCTCTCTCTCTCTCTCTATATATATATATATATATATATATATATATTTCAGAGAGGAATGAATAAGAGAGAGAGAGAAACATCAATGATGAGTGAGAATCACCAATTGGCTGTCTCCTTGGGCCCTTAAATTGAGTAACAGTTGAGCTTCCTATAATTGACAGAAATCCCTCCTCCTAGTCCTCAGATTGGATTGCCAGGGTTAAGAATTTTCATCATTTCCATGTCTTAATTTATACTTCATGAAAGCAGGAAGAGGCTGAGTCAGAAATTGTCATCTAGGTGCTACTTTTATTCTATGTTTTAAATTTTCATAAATATTCTTGAAAATTGCTCTTTATATTCTTAAAGAGATGATAGGTACAAATATACTAGTATATTCCCTAGCTACTCGTTTCTCCAATGTTCACACTTGAGAATTACCTGTGTGCTGTAGGATGAATTGTACCCCTTTTCTTCCGAGTGCTGGGTTAATTGGGAATTGTTATAAGAGGCAGGTATCAAAACTATCAGCTTCATTTGTGCTGGGAAACTTACTACTTCCTCCTACTTGAATTGAGTTTAACACTTGAGTAGCAAAGAGGAGCACTCTTTGTCCTCCATGTTTGTGGGATAAACATGTAGAGGAGAGAAGACAGCATGGGGTCTGTACACAAGCAGCTTTAAAAGACAAGACCAAAAAAGAATTGAGGAGCCAGGACATGACGTGAGTGGCAAATTCTAATATTCACAATCTGTCCCAAGGAGGGGAGTATTAATCACTCTTCTGCCAGTGGGGAGGGACAATGAACAGAGAAGGGAGAAAGGATGATTTTTTTCAATATTTTTTGAGAAAGCTAATGTTTTTATTTTATGGGTAGGCATGACCATAGAGAAGGGGAGAGGATGATTTTACCCCCTACATACATTAAAACCTAAAACTGCTGCCATGCTAAATTCAGTAAGGAAGGTAGTATGAAAATTAAATTTGTTCTGTTCAAGGATTTAATCTTGGTATTTTACTTGAAATTTTCATTTATATCATGGGGTAAGAACTATCAATAGCAAAAAAGTGAAAAGGAAGGAAGGGAGGGAGGGAGGGAGGGAGGGAAGGAAGGAAGGGAGGGAGGGAGGAAGGAAGGAAGGAAGGAAGGAAGGAAGGAAGGAAGGAAGGAAGGAAGGAAGATCTGGATTC